GGGTGACGGTGACCTGGCCTGCGGGTGGGTGCGCGGGCCCCTCGGCCGCTCCTGCCGCTGCCATCACCCTTCGCTCAGGGACACGCCCCCTCGTCCCGGAAAACCCCGCTGTGGCCCGCAGGCGCCTACGGGAGAGGCGGCCTCTGCCCTCGCGGGTTTGCGTTTCCTGGCGGCTCGCTCAGCTTCCTCCCAAGGGACAGGTCCATGTCCATCACGCTGAGGGGTTGCTGTGACACTAGTGAGTCCTGTGTGGCACCTGGACTAGGGAGCGGAACAAGCTAACAAGTACATATCCTTGGACTCAGCAAGCCGGGACACTAAAAACCCAGAATGGCTGTATGGTTGGTCTCCCATGTAGCCTACCAGGGTTCGAGTCCCTGACCCGGTGGCTTAAACTCACGTCAAGTGCGTGTGTGTGCGTGCCCAAGATCCCAAGAGGAGAACGGAGGGGAAGGGATTGCGGTGTGGCCATCCCCCCTGGGGGGTGATTTCTCGCTTTCTGTCTCTCTGTCTCTCTCTGTCTCTCCTGCGAGCACATGCGCCCCATAGCAAAAACCTCTCAAACAAAACAAAACAAAACAAAACAACCCAGAACTGTAATTCTGGAGTTCCCTGTGAATAAGAGCTTTGCTGGCGGTGGCGATTTGTTCCCTTTCCTTTGTGAAGTGCCACTTGGTCTTGGTTACAGGTTGAGCCCCCCATTCTGAAAATCTGAAGTGCTCCAAACTGAAAGTTTTTGAGTCCTGACAAAGCCCCACAAGTGAACATTCCACACTTGCCCTTGTGCGTGTGTGTGCACGTGTATGTGTGGAGGGGGAGAAGGTGTCACAGTCAAAACACTACAATACAAAATACGATACGAAGTTAACTTCAGGCTCTGTGAGTAGTGTGCATGAAACAAACCAATAGTTTTGAGTCCTCTCGGCAATATGTTATCATATATGTTCCCAAACCTGAGAAAATCCACAATTGGAAACACTTATGGACCCAAGCATTTTAGATAAGGCATATTCAGCCTGTCCTCTCAAAAGCACCATTCCTTGTATGGTCTACAAACACAAGGTGAAAGGAAACGGGTTATTTTTTGCTTCGATGCACAACATAGACGCGTATAATATTGATGCTCCTGTGTGTGATTTTTTTTTTTTGAGAGGTTTTTCACTATAGGGCGCGTGCGCTCGCCAGACAGAGACAGAGAGACAGAAAGTGAGAAATCACCCCCCAGAGGGGATGGCCATGCCGTAATCCCTTCTCCTCCATTCTCCTCTCGGGATCTTGGGCACGCAAGCACACGCGCCTGGTGTGGGTTTTAAGCCACCGGGTCCGGGACGTGATCCGCGGTCGACTACGTGGTAGTCCAGCGACATAGCCATTACGCTAACTGCTGGTTCCCTCCTGTGTGTGTTTTAAAATAGCTGCTGCAGTTTCTACAGGAATTCTCACAGCAGACGATCTCTAGGACCCACGAAATCAAGAAACAAGTAGACGGACTAATTCGAGAGACCAAAGCCACCGACTGTCGCCTGCACAATGTCTTCAATGACTTCCTCATGCTGTCTAATACCCAGTTCATTGAGAATGTGAGTTATGGAGTTTCATTTTACTTACACATGATACTTGTGGGAGGAGCAAGAGATATTGTAATTTTTTTAAAATAAAGAATTATTTAATTCCATTTGTTATTTTAAGATTAAATTTGACTATAGAGAGAGAAAGGGAAAGGAAGAAAGCAAGCTGCCAGGTCTGGGACATGAACCATGGTCTGCCATATGGGAATCCAGTATCTTTAACCACCATGGTCCCAAGATATTGTAATTTTAAATGACTGAGTAGGGTCTGTCCTAAATTTTGGTGGAAGTAGTGGTTGGTAATTGGAGCTTCTTCCTTTAGGGTTGATGCCTACTTTTCTTCTTTTCTTCCTTTTCTTCTTTTAAAGAACTATTTATTTAATTTTACTTATTGCTACTATTTTTTAATTTGACCAGAGAAAGAGAGAAAGTGAGAAAGCAAGCTGCCAGGTCCGAGACTTGAACCTTTTAGTTCTGAGAGTAATCAGTAGTTGTGTTGAATTGTGTGCACCCAAACAAGCCACATTCCAGCGAGGCCCCTCTGTAAGGATAACCGTGTACCTGGTCTGACCCCTAGGCACTGACATGTGGCTTCAGGCGTTGACTGGGTCTGTTGCCTTTGATAACCTGATCTTGAAGGTTTGTGAACATTACTCGGGATAGTCCCATCTAATGTTTTCTTAGGATGGCTGAACCTGTGACATAGGACCGGCTATAAACAAGTGACTGAGCTTTAACCGTGTGTGCGTTTGTGCCTGCCTGTTTATTGGGTTTTTGCTATACGTAGGCAAACATGGGTAGATTAGATTGCGCCTTAGTAAGTAGTATACTTCCAGAATAGAAAGTGAGTATGACTGAAGCCACGTCAATGAAGGGGGAGGATGGAAAAAAAGCTGAGTTAAGCTGATCTGTGCTTCTTATATATTTATGTTATGTATTTCTTTTTTTGGTAAAGAATTATTTAATTTTATTTATTATTATTTTTAATTCGCTCAGAGAGAGACAAACAGAGAAAGGGAAAGTGAGAAAGCAAGCCTCCAGGTCTGGGACTTGAACCACGGTTAGCATCAAAGTCCAGCGCCTTAACCACCATGCCACCTGCTGGTCCCACATGTTTATGTATTTCTTAGTAGGCCAGGTTGAAAGGTCATTTCTACCCTTTTTGGGAGCTCTGAGTAAATTAAAGATCTTAATTAATGTCTTAGAGATCAGTCTTTGCCAGTTTTTTCTTTAATGGCAGTGGCAAATTTGTAAGTTTGGAATACTATCATAAACACTCGGCTAAAATTAGAAGTCGTTTTCTGATTGTCTTCACAGAATGTCCTCTAGACGAGTCAGTTTAGGGACTAGCTGTACTTCCCTGCTGTATGCAGCCCTGCCACTTTTTCAGCAAGCTGACCTTGGTGTCCTCTTACATACTGGCATACTTGTTCTCTTCCTGTGCCTGGCTGGGTCTGGTGCAGCCTTCTCTGTGGTTAATGCTGCAGAACCAGACTGGACAAGGAGCAGACCTGGGAGGTTTCGTTGGCACCCGATAAGCTGTACTGGATGCGTACTAGATCCATACTTGAGTGGGAAGAAGTGGAGGCACAGACTTGTTTTTCTGAATATAGTCTTCAGGTCTTCTTTTTCATCCAGCTCTTCTTATGTGGCAAGGTTTCTTTAGATTTTGAGTTTTCTATGATCTAGTTTTTTTTTTTTTTTAAACCTGTTTTGTTTTTTTCCTGTCCACTTCAATAGGTTCCCCCTCCTCCCCCCTTTTTTTGAGAGATTTTTGATATAGGGCACATGTGCTTGCCAGAGAGACAGAAAGCGAGAAATCGCCCCCCAGGGGGATGGCCGTGCCACAATCCCTTTTTCTTTATTCTCCTCCTGGGATTTTGGGCATGCATGCTCATGCGCCTGGCATGAGTTTTAAGCCATGGGGCCCAGGACTTGAACCATGCTCAATTATGCGAGAGTCCAGTGATGTAACTTATGCCATCTGCTGGCCCCTAGATCCCCTGTTTTGCACCTATTTCTCCTTCTCTTGTTGAGCCCTTTTTTTTTTGCCAGTGGGCATTGTGCACATGGCAAGGGGGATTGAGAAATCATCCCCCATGGGGAGTGGCCTTGCCATGATCCCCTTGCCATTTCTCTTCCTTTGGAGATTTTGGGCACGCATGCATGTGTGGCATGTTTCTTTCTGGATCTGGGACTTCAATATTCCCTCCCTTCCTAAACAGCAATCCTGTTTTTAAGAAATAGAAAATAATTATGTTTGTATACGTTGAGAGCAGCTTTGTTTATAGTAGCAAAATCCTTAACATCAAATTAATTACAAGTATTTTAACTTCAAATATTTTTTAAGCATTTAAAAGACTGACTCTAGCCCACATGCATTGACATGGAAAGTGGTTTATGAGAACATTAAGTGAAAAAGCGGGACAGAGAAATGTGTATCCTCTGAGTACATTTTATTTAAAAGAGGACCGTATCTCACTAGCTTTGCTTAATGGTCTCGTGGACAGTCTGAGGATTGGAGCACCCTGAACATGTTCATGTGTCTGTGTGCGTTTGTGTAGGAGCCTCAGGAAGTGGAGGAGTGCACACACCATGCTTACTGTGTGAGTTCTTCGAGGATTTAGGCTGGTATATCATTACAGTGACTGAAACATTTTAAATCAAGTTAAAATTCGTATACCATTAAACCCACTCTTTTAAAAAGATGCAATTCAGTGGATTTTAGTGTGATAAATCTATTTGGGAGAGAATTTTTCCGCCCATTCCGTAAGGATCAATCAAGTGTTGGCTTTCTGCAAATCGGTGGTGGATTTTGTTTTTCTGCTTTCATGTAAATGGAATAATAAAATGTTGTCAGCCATTTTAAGCAATGGGATGAAAACAGATTTTCCTTTTACCATTTCGATCACCCCACATGTTGGAGTTGTCCCCTGGTCGATGAGTTATACCAGTTGACGTCGTTCTCGGTGGCTTCAGGCAAGGGTGCCTCTATCGTCACCCCACCAGCAACATACATTAGCTTCAATGAAGAGGTGCGGAAACTGGTATCTTACTGTTGAGGGAGCTCTTTGGTCAACACTGAGGTTGAACTTTTTTTGTGTTTGGTAATGTTTTTAGCAAATTGACTGTTGTCCTATGCTGCTGGTTTGTGACCCATTAGGAGTGGCGTCAGCCATTTGTTGAGTATTTCCTTTCCCATCTTTGTCATTTTAACTCTATATTGAGTTCTTACATTGTGATTTATTTCAAATGATGTTTGACCTTTTAAAAATGCATTTTCTTTCCTATTTAGCGTGTATATGATGAAGAAGTGGAGGAGCCGGTACTCAAACCTGAGGCAGAAAAGACAGAACAGGTACTTGTATTAAGTCACTCTTCAGTCGAATTTCACATTTAGAGAAAAAAAAGAGACAGATTTGTAATGTGCGCGGGGAAAGGAGGGTGGTTCTAGGGTGATGTACAGGATAGACAGATGAACCTGACCATCTCTTGGTGTATAATAAATTTATAAAATAATCGTAATTGAAAAATGACATCTCTGGCTAGAATACTTTCTTCTCAGTCTCAGCGCCTAAAATTGTTCAAGGAGGCCATTAGCCAGAGTTAGTGAGATTCAGTCATGGTCTCCAGTAGCAGGGAAGTGACATACCATTCTTTGTTAATGGTATTTTACACAAATTATCTAACTGAACTGTCACGTGATAGTTGCATTTCTGTGCTTATAGGTGATGAACCTGCAGCTCTGGGGCCTTAGGTAGTTTGATGCATTCCATGAAATATTTGGGATTTAAAACTTGGAGTCTTACTCCAGAGTCTGTGTCAAGACATTTAGCAGAATATGACTTTGCTAACATTTTTTGCTTTTTTTTTTTTAATTGCCAGAGGGTGTATGCATTAGCCAGAGAGAAAGAGACAGAAAGCCCCACAGCAGTGGGGTGAGGTCACACTGCAGTCCCTTCCCCATTTTTTTATCCCATTATTATTTGGGGCATATAACTGCTCACCATGCTTTTAAGCTGCCAGGACCAGGACTTGAACCTTGGTTGGCAATGTGAGATCTGACTTTCTTTATTGCCGCACTACAGGGCTGACCTTGTTAATATACGTGTGTATGTGTATATATATATATATTTTTTTTCTTTTAAGAATTATTTATTTAATTCTGTTTACTTCTTATTATTACTTTTTAAATTTTTAATTTGCTATAGAGCATGTGTGGTCACCAGAGAGAGAAAGTAAGAAAGCAGCCACCAGGTCCAGGACTCAAACCATGGTTGGCCATGTGGGAGTCCAGTACTTTAACCATCATGCCATCTGCTGCCCTCCTCCTTGTTAATATATTTTTTTAATTATTTGATTTAGCTTTATTTATTATTATTTTCCATTTGATCAGAGAGAGAGAGAGAGGGAAAGTGAGAAAGCAAGCCACCAAGTCTGAGACTTGAACCATGGTCATCTATATGGGAGTCCAGCGCTTTTAACCACCACACCACCTGCTGGTCCCTCCTCGTTAATATTTTTAATTAAATTTTGTATTTTTGAGTATAGACTTGGTTCTAGGGATCATTCACACGGTCTTCTTGGGTATCAATATATTGGAGCTCTGGGGAACTAGCGTAATGGCTATGTTGCTGGACTCCCACGTAGTCAACCGCGGTTTGCGTCCCAAACCCGGTGGCTTAAAACTCACGCCGGGCGCGTGTGTGTGCGTACCCAAGATCCCGAGAGGAGAATGGAGGAGAAGGGATTGCAGCATGACCATTAGGAGCTCTGTACTTAATGTTTAGTTTTTTGTTTTGTAGGAGAAGACCCGGGAACAGAAAGAAGTAGATCTGATTCCTAAAGTCCAGGAGGCCGTGAACTACGGTTTACAAGTTTTAGACAGTGCATTTGAGCAACTTGATATCAAAGCTGGAAACTCCGACTCTGAAGAAGATGATGCCAATGAGCGGGTGGAACTGATCCTTGAACCGAAGGTAAAGAGGTTGAACTCAGATACTTATGACTATACCTGTTATGTCTTGGATACTTTACTTGGGCACACGGTTAGCATGGCATAGACTTTAGCGCTAATTAAAGAGTGTATCACTTAGCAATGTCATATTGACTCTGTCAGACAGATTGATTTTACACACTGGTTGACCCCTTCCAAGGTACAAGGTGACGGCTTGCGGGGTACAGATATGCAGGGCATGATATGTACTCTCAAGGTGCTCCTTACATAGTCTGGTGGGAAAGAGGAGACATTTACCTGAGTAACTATGAGTAACTAGCTGAAGGACTCTCAGAGAATGGACTTCTAGCTTGGGTGTTAGGGAAGGTGTGGTTTGAATTGGGTTGGATGAGGAGGCTCAGGAGAGGTCTTGTTGGAACCTGAGATGCCGTTGCGTGTCCCAAGGAAAACTACAGAAAGGTTGGAAGGTGACAGGGCTGTTCCTGGTGTTGGCTGTGGCACAAAGCTGTGTGTTGTGTGCATCCACGTGCAGGCTCCCCCTTAGCCTAGCAGGCGTCCATGGCTTTCCTGCTTCTTTCTCTCAGATAGCTAAAGGAGACAACTGAAACCACGCAGGGTCACTCGGTAAGAAGCACGGAAAGTTGACTTATGAATTAACAGCATGTCATAGGCCCGCGGGTGTCATGGTGGTTAAGGCACTGGAATCCCACATGGCTGACGGCAGTTTGAGTCCTGGATCCCGGCTTGAAAATCACGCTGAGTGCATGTGTGTGTGTGCCCAAAATACTGAGAGGAGAATGGAGGAGAAGGGGTTGCAGCGTGCCATCTCCTCTAGGATGTAACATCTTGCTTTTCCTCAGTCTCTGGCAAGTGCATGTGTCCTATGCCAAAAAGCAAAAGAGAAAAATAGCTTCCAAAACAACAACAACAAAACATGTCCTTTCAGTCTCACTTAGCTGCACATTCTCTGCTAAATTGAGCTTCACAGATATGTATCAAACGGGGGCACATCTTCCAGGGCTCGTATACTCGCTGGATTTGAGAATCAGCAGTGAACCCTGGGAAGTTGTTGCCTGGGCCACAGTTGTTATGTCAGTCGTGTCCTCTTCTGCATGAGGACTTCGGGGTGCCCTCTGAAGCTGTCAGTCGTGTCCTCTTCTACACGAGGACTTCCGGGTGCCCTCTGAGGTCCTCAGTCACATCCTCTTCTACGTGAGGACTTCGGGATGCCCTCTGAGGTGGCAGGATTAGTGGATTGCTCGGTTGGTTGGTTGCTGGTGAATCTTTAACCTTTGCGTTAACCTCCCCAGACTTTCTGTTGTCAGGTGAAGCATCAGAATTATTCTTCCCTGCTCCTGGGGTCCTTTGGATAGGGAAGAGCTGTTATGGGCCTCAAGGGCACAGGTCAGCTCATTCTCTTGCTGACCTAAACATGTGTTGTCCCAGGGCGGAGCCTTCCTTGATGTTCTATTTCTTTTGGAGAGGTTTTTGCTATAGGGCGCGTGCACTCGCCAGGAAGACAGAGAGAGACAAAGAGATAGAAAGTGAGAAATCACCCCCCACGGGGAATGGCCAAGCCGCAATCCTTTCTCCATTCTCCTCTTGGGATCTTGGGCACGCACGCACACTTGCCTGGCGTGAGTTTTAGCCACTGGGTCTGGGACTCAAACCGTGGTCGACTACATGGGAGTCCAGTGACGTAGCCATTACACCAACTACTGGTCTCCATTTACCTTCTATTTTTAACTAGATGAAGTAGAGGACTGAAGGGAAGGGGTCTCCAGTGAGTACTGCATCCCTAGTCTTCCTTATTTCATTCTGTTGTTTTATTGTCTGGCCTTATTTTACCAACTTCACTACTCATCGAACTCCTGGGGGGATTTTTTTTTTGTTTCTTGGGTTATTTTTATTTTTCAAATGCAGGTTCTCAGTCTTTTGGATGTTTCTGCAGTTCATTGCGTTAGCTGTAGGTTTTTGTGTCGTTTCCATTGTGTCTTTTAATCCAGTGTGTGCTTCATGTGCAGTCTCTCAGCCTTCTGTGCGCACTCATGCAGGGTGAACAGGCCCTCTGATTCTTTTGTATTTTCTTTGTGATGGGTTTGCCCAAGCCACCCACACATTCAACCTGGATATAACCCCACCTATTTTCTTTTTTATATATTTTTAAAAAAATTATTTATTTAATTTTATTTGTTGTTATTATTATTATTTAATTTGAACAGAGAGATACAGAGAGAGAGAGAAAGGGAAAGTGAGAAAACAAGCTGCCAGCTCCGGGACTCGAACTGTAGTCGGCGATGTGGGAGTCCAGTACCTTAACCATCATGCCACCTGCTGGCCCATGTTTACTTTAAAATTTTACTATAGGGCACATGCACTTACTAGAAAAGGAGAGAGAAAGAGAGCGAGCAAGTGAGAAAGCAGCCCTCAGAGGAGATGACCGCACCACCGTCCCTCCTCCCTCATTCTCCTCTTGGTATTTTGGATACATACGTGTACCTGGCATGTTTTTTAAGCAGATGCATCTGGGACTTGACCCACACAGTTAACCATGTGGAATCCAACTACCTTAACCACCATACCACGGGCTAGCCCACCCACCAACTTTCTCACAGTTGTGTAAAAGCATTTGGATTATTTCCTCAGTATGGTTTTGTCCAAATTTAGGACTGTTGGTGATTCTCAGTATACATGAGAGGACTTCAAACTGTGTGTGGAAATGTGGAATTAAAGTATGAGTTTATGTTGGTGTAAAGAAATCCCTGGAAATCCATACATAGTTGTTTTCGTAATAGGCATTTTCCATGAACTTTTTGAAGACCCCCCCCTCCACATTTAGATATAAAAGTGGCATAAAGTGGTCTTGACACACACACACACACACACACACACACACACACGTATGTATGCACACGTGTACGTCTTTGCGCTGCCTCCTAGAGGAGGAAGGTGTGGTTAGGACTCCTCAAAGCCTGCCAGCATTTTTGGTTTCCTCCCTGGGTCTTCTTCCTTTTGAACATTTTACTATAAGGTTGTGCCCTTTCCACTGCAGGGAGAGTCTGTGTGACTTAGTGTTACCCTGGCATCTTTACCTGGGATTTACCTTATTTTTGAGAGAGATTTTTGCTATAGGGCATGTGTGCTTCCCAGAGAGACAGAAAGTGAGAATTCACCCCACCCCAGGATGGCCACGCCCAAGTCTCTTCTCCTCCATGCTCCTCTTGGGATTTTGGGCATGCGTGCACACATGCCCATTGTGAGTTTCGAGCCACTGGGTTGGGGACTTGAACTGTGATTGGCCATGTAGGAGTCCAGTGATGTAACCATTAAGCCATCTACTGGTCCCAGGATTTAACTTTTTCAAAAAAGCAAATGATTATTTTTTAAAATTTAAAAAAAAAACTATTTTATTTAACTTTATTTATTTTTAATAATCTGACCAGAGAAGAGAAGGAGAGAGAAAAAAGGCAAGCCACCAGATCTGAGACTTGAACTGTGGTTGGCCATGTGGGAGCCCAGCACTCCTAACCACCACACTACCTGCCAGCCCCCCAAAAAGCAAATTATTTTTAACTTTTAAACTTTCATGTTCTCCACTTCTGTTGTATAACTCATGTGAGGTAATCAGGGGTCAACGGAACACTGAATTGTATTTTTCAATCTAAGTACTTAATGGCGTACTCCCTTTCATTATTTATAGGATCTATACATTGACCGTCCTTTACCTTACTTAATCGGGTCAAAGCTCTTCATGGAGCAAGAAGACGTAGGGCTTGGAGAGCTGTCCAGTGAAGGTACTTTTCTTCCAAATTTTTGTTACCGTTAACATATCTTCACTTTTTGTTTTAAGATAATTTTACACCTTGTGTTAAAGTCATAGAAATAGTATAGAGACCTTGCCAAATACTCTTCACCGAGATATGCCAGTTGCTACCATTTCATCACATTTGGTTTATATTTGCTCTGTAAATTCATATTTTTTTCCTAAACTTATTAGTGAGAAATTGTCCCCCATTGCTCTTGACTATTTCTGTATTTGTATATTTTCTAAGAACAGGACATTCTCTTTTGTAACCCCAGTATAATGATCAAAACTAAGACATAATATTGCTATTTCATCTTTAGTCATATTCAGATTTTACTAGTTGTCCCAATAGTATTCTTTATAGTTTCTTCTTCCTGTGGTCTGTGACTCAGTCAGGGACCACTCATGGCATTGGTTGTCAAATCTTTCTCATCACTGTTTTTTAGTCTAATACTATTTCTCAGCCTTTTTTCTTTTTATGACCTTGACATCTTTTTTTTTTTTTGCTATAGGGTGCATGTGCTTGCTGGAAAGATAGAGAGAGACAGAGAGACAGAAAACGAGAAATCACCCCCCAGGTGGTATGGCCACCCCGCAATCCCTTCTCCTCTCAGAGTCTTGGGCACGCATGCACACATGCCTGGTGTGAGTTTAAGCCACTGGGTCCAGGATTTGAACCATGGTCAACTACATGGGAGTCTGGTGACATAGCCATTACGCCAACTGCTGGTCCCATGACCTTGACATTTTTAAAGAGGACAGGTCATTTTTTTTTTTTTAATTGTGATGAAACTTTTTTTTTGAAAGTATTTTGTGAGGAGATACTTCGTGACTATATAAATACCCCGTTTCTCACTGTAATGAAGATGCTTTTAATTCCAATGAATGGATATGGATGGTTTTATCAACATCTCTGTCATGCCCTTGTGTGGTGTTTCATGATTTTTTTCCATTGTAATTTCCTTTTTTGTTTTGGTGGTTTGTGATTTTGAGAAGGAAGTAAAGACATTACCTTGTGAATATTGGTGTAACCCTTATCTCTCTTCTCAACAGAAGGTTCTGTAGGCAGTGATCGTGGCAGTATCGTGGACAGTGAAGACAAAGAAGAGGTAAGGACTGTTGGATGCGACCAGGTCATGGTAGATGTGGAACTTAGGTTGTGTTTAGCAGGCTAAATATTGATAACAGACATACCTGTGAATTAGCAGTCTGTTTTCCTGGGACTTTTTTTTTTTAATTCCGGTTTTTGCCGTAGAGCACTTGCTAGAGAGAGACAGGGAAAGTGAGAAATCACACACCAGGGAGGACGGCCTCACCCCAGTGCCTTTCTATCTCTTATCTTCTTGGGATTTTGGGCATACATGTACACAGGTGTGGCATGATTTATTAGAAGTCTTCAAATCACGGTGGTTAAGGGCGCTGGACTCCCACATGGCTGACCACAGTTTGAGTCTCAGACCTGGTGTCTTGCTTTCTCACTCTCTCTCTCTCCCCCTCCCCCTCTCTGGTCAAATAAAAAAAATAAATAAATAAAGTCAAATAAAATAATTTTTAAAAAAGTAGTCTTTAAATAGGGCCGGCAGATGGTGTAGTGGTTACGTTGCTAGACTCCCGCATGACCGACTGTGGTTCGAGGCACGGGCCTGGTGGCTTGAAAGTCATGCTGAGCATGTGTGCATGTGTGCCCAAGATCCCGGGATAACGGATTGTGGCGTGGGCATTTTCCGGGGGTTGATTTCTCACTTTGCTTCTCATTTTTTCTGCCTCTGTCTTCGGTGAGTGCACGCACCCTAAGGTACAAACCTTAAAACAAAACAAAACAAAGGCAAAATCTTTAAATCAACTTCTAAATGACATGTTAACTGGAATACCTCTTTGCAGTATTGCTAGTTCACGTGACCAGAGTAGTCTCCACAGGGTACTGAGTCTCAGAACTTCTGCTTCACTTAGTGTAGAATCAGCTTGCTCCAGAGACTCAGACCTGAAGCAGTTCTGTACTTCCGAATAAAGCCTATGTTAACGGCTCTGTCTTCTCTCTCTCCCACAGGAGTCTGATGAAGATTTTGCCAATCCTAGTGACAATGATCAGAACCGGGTAAGGCTCATGTGTTGAAGCGTGAATTTAATGAGAGCATAGCATATATACTAAAATTATAAAATTAAAGAATTACAAAGATGACAGTGGTTATTCATCTTTTCAAATAATTTTTCCTTACATATTTAATTTATTTAATGTATATTGTTTCCAATTTTGCTTTATAATTGATTTTCATTCTTTTTAGCAGACTGTACAAATGAGTGATGAAGAAGAGGATGATGACCTTTTTGCTGACTCTGAGAAGGAGGAAGAAGATATTGAGGATGTTGAAGAAAATAGCAGACCTGTAAGAAAGACTGGTTCTATCACTGGTGGGGATTTAGAAACGGGACGTAGTACTCATTCCTTTCGTAGCTTTCTTATTTTACGTCATGTTCATAATTCCACGTACACTTTTGAAAATTATGGTGAGCAGCCCAAATTACATTATAGGTATCATTTTCCTCAAATGCTATGATTTTATAAGTCAGATTATTCAGAATATATTCAGTTTTTATTTTTTATTTTACTTATTTTTTTTGGAGAGTTTTTTGCTACAGGGTGTGTGCACTCACCAGAAAGACAGAGAGAGACAGAGAGATAGAAAGCAAGAAATCACCCCCCAGGGGGGATGGCCACACCACAGTCCCTTCTCCTTCACTCTCCTCTTGGGATCTTGGGCACACACGCACACATGCCTGGCATGAGTTTAAGCCACTGGGTCTGGGACTCAAACCACGGTTGACTACATGGGAGTTCAGTGACGTAGCCTCTATGCTAACTGCTGGTCCCTTATTTTTAATTGTCAAAGGGCATGTGTACTTGCCAGAGGAAGAAAGGGAGAGGAAACTAGAGCAAGAAAGCCCCTTCCCCTGCACGGGACACGGTCGCACTGCAGTTCCTTCTCCATTTTTCCCTGCTGGGATTTTGGGCTTGCCACATGCACCTGGGGTGTTTGTACAGCCCCTGGGGCCATGATTTGAATTGTCATCCATGAGGAATCTGGCTCCCGTTAACTACATGGCCGTGGGGCCAGCCCAGAATATACTAAGATTTAAGATAAAGAGTTGTAAGACCCTAGTGTTCCCCTTCCTCCTCCTCTTATGTACCTCATGCTAGTTTCTCATTTATGTTTTCAAGTATTACAGTGAAATATTAAAGAGAAAGAGATAAAGGGTATCTGCCTTTGAAGGAACAGTGTATGAGTCGTGTTCCTCAGGTGAGCTGTATAGGGTGCAAATGTTTAATTTAATGAAACCCTATCTTGTTCTCAGTTTAATATATTTGCTGCTGTTTATATAATTTTATTAGATGTTCAAAAGTATATTGTGCTAATTTACTACAAAAAAAAGTGACTCTTTTGGTCTGTTCTGCCTGTAGAAAAGAAACAGACCTACGTCATTTGCTGATGAGCTGGCAGCTCGGATCAAGGGGGATGCTGGGAGCCGAGCCGAAGAGCAGCCGACAGGTGAGCCCAGGTGCTGTGAACGCGTGACCTGTAAAGCACTAGCAGGTGGTCAGTGAAGCGCAGGGCTGTCTGTTGGCTTTACTCAGGGTGGAGTTCCTTTTTTAATTACTAAGGTGTAAGAGACTAAAATTGTAGTTCCTAACTCTTTTTGGGTAACTGTGTGGACCCCACAAGAAAAGCTTGTACGTGTACACATCGATATAGCATTTTACACACAATTTCAGGGCTTCATAGGTACCTCAGAGAACCATGGACACCAGATTAAGAGTCTGTGGCTTGGGACCAGCAGTTAGCATAATGGCTATGTCGCTGGACTCCCATGTAGTCGACCACGGTTCGCGTCCTGGACCTGGTGGTTTAAACTCACGCTGGGTGCGTGTGTGTGCATGCCCAAGATCCCGAGATGAGAATGGAGGAGAAGGGATTGTGGCGTGGCCATCCCCCCTGTGGGGTGATTTCTCGCTTTCTGTCTCTCTCTCTCTCTGTCTTTCTGGTGAGTGCATGTGCCCTATAGCTAAAAACCTCTCCACTAAAAGAAAAAGAACCTGTGGCTTAATATTTACTCCTATGTTTTGAGTAACTGAGAACATATGATGCAGTATGTTCTTGTTATTCCAGAAGGTAGAAAAATAGAACTGATTTTTGGTACGTACAGCCCTGGTGTGCACATGACCTTGATGTGTAGGTGGAACCTGCCTCTCTCAGAGACAGTGTAGCGCCTATGCTCTGGTGGAGTGGGGACGCGGAGGTGAACTTCTCGTTTTTAGCTGAGTCATGAGGGTGCTGGACATGTATGAGGAGTTAATGAGCCAGTGCTGTATATGAAGGGTGGACTGAGCACCATTAAAGCTGTAATAGTTGTTAAACTTTACCTTCAGGTGAAGCGAAACCTCAGAAAACATTGAAAGAGAAGAGGGAAAGGAGAACTCCTTCAGATGGTAGGCTTTTTCCTTCAATTTTATTTTTTTGACTCGGGAATGTTGTTTATATAATTTATAAAATGCCTCTCTCAATGCTGACAAATGGTCTGTGTTCACTTTTTTAAAACATCTAAGAGCTGTGGGCTAGCAAGTGACATGGTGGTTAAGGCACTGTACTCCCACATGGTCGACTGTGGTTTGAGTCCCAGACCTGGTAGTTTGCTTTCTCATTTTCCTTCTTCCCTCTCTTTCTGAGTCTGTCTCTCTCTGGTCAAATTAAAATAGCAATACTAATAAATAAATAAAATAAAGTGATTCTTTAGAAAAAAAGCTAAGAACATGTTTTGGGGTTCTGGGAGAAGAGGTGGCTGTGGAGTGATAATGCCTGTGAAGATCTGAACTGTTAGATTTTGTAGTGATCATTACCTGCCTTAAAATTCTCTAGCAGTATAGAAACTAGGAATTGTTAGCATTTGTTGTCATAAAGCATATATCAGGCCCTTTTTAAAAATTTATTTTTAAAATTTATTTATTTTAAAAAATTAGCTGTAGAGCTTATGCACTTACCTGAGAGAGAGAGACAGAGAGAAAGTGAGAAAGCACCTCCTGACAGGGCGGGGGATGGCCACATCGCAATCCCTTCTCCTCCCAGGATTCTGAGTATATGCACTCAAGTGCCCGGCATGTTTTCAAGCCGTGGGGTCTGGGACTCAGACTGCATGGTCTCATGTGAGATCCAGCCACCTCAACCAACTCACCACTGACAGGCCTCAGGCTCTTTTATGTTGAACAGTAATGTCCGTTGGATTCTATCGTGACTGTCATTCTGCAGATATCTTTGTTTAGTCTTTCTTTTCTTCCCTCAGATTCTGGGGGCCTGGGTCCTGAATGTGGAAATGAAAGTCTAGATGAAGGGAGATTGTTAAAGAGTTTACTCTGTGTTTCAGGCACTTACAGACTTGAGAGTAGGGGAGCCCAGAGAGCCTATTGAGAGAGTTGCAGGTCTGGTCAGTGGTTTTTTAATTTGAAACTCAAATAAAAGTACTCCTCGTTAGATATGGCTAGGTCAACTGTGCCGTCTTGGAGGTGCTGTGGAGGCTAACCCTGGGATTTGGGTTTCAGAACCGTCTTTAACTCTGCCTGCAAAACTCTGTCTATTAGATGAAGAAGACAACTTATTTGCACCCCCGAAGCTGACTGATGAAGACTTCTCGCCATTTGGCTCTCGAGGTGGCCTGTTCAGTGGAGGGAAGGGACTGTTTGATGATGAGGATGAGGAGGTGAGTCAGTGGTACCCAGCAGTGCTCTCCATATGGGGTCATGGGCCCACAAGGAGACATACTCTTCGTTCCCTCAGTGGGAGAAGACGGGCTTCCTGCTGGAAGGTGACTGTGCTTTCACATTTGGGGATGTTCTGAACTATGAACCACAGACTGTATCACAGTATTGTATCCTGACGTTGTTTGTTGGGTGGGGCGACAATATGGAATTTTAATAGTGAATAATTTACTTGAGGAGGTGATTGTTTCTTACCTTACGTGTTGTCTTCCACTTTTGTATTAAATTCCTGGATTGGCCTAAATTATTCAACGGTTTGACCTCGCCAGTCCTTTCTTTGCGTTGATTTTCTGGCAGAACAGTAACTGTGCAGATTCTTTGCCTTACAAATCCACAGATGCAGCTATGTTGTTCCCTACTTTTTGAATTATTGACACATGCCTTGTTATAACCAGAGTGACCTCTTCACGGAAGCCCCCCAGGAGCGGCCAGCTGGCGCCTCTGCTCGTGAAGGTGAGGGGTGCTGGGTCCCGCAGCCTGCTCTGCTCCCTGTGCACGGAGTCCCAGAACTGGCTCTGCCCAGGAGCTCATGGCTCCCTGAAGTCGTCCTAAGCCTTTTTCTTTGTTAAGCAGAAAGTTACTGTTTTTGTCTTGGTCCTCTTTAAAGTAGTTTGTTTTTACTAATTCATGGCTTGGAAGAAAATGGAGTGTCATCTACAAACCCACATCAGTTTTCCCTCTTTCTTAGGAGAGAATTCATGACAAGTCAGACAGGAAAAGTACTCTACAGAAGTGTCAAGGAACTTTTTTATTTAATTCAAAGAAACATTTCTAACATTCTGCATGTAAGTTAGAGATAAGTAATGTCCCAGTCCGCTGTACATCAAACCATCTTTGGAGTTTTTTAAAAGCACAAATTACAGGACCTGCAGTTAGTGTAATGGCTATGTCGCTAGACTCTCATGTAGTCGACCACGGTTCGAGTCCTGGACCCGGTGGCTTAAACTCATGCCGGGTGCATGTGCATGCATGGCCATCCTCCCTGAGGGGTGATTTACTTTCTGTCTTTCTGGCGAGTGCACGTGCCCTATAGCAAAAACCTCTCAAAAAAAAAACCAAAAAAACCCCACAAATTAAAAAAAATGTATTCCACTAGGTTTGTGTGATGTTCTTGGGAATCGGGAATTAGTGGTGTAAGCGACTCCATCTCCCAGTCCTTGTGTCCTCGGCTGTGGGCTTTCTCTTGCCACCACTCTCCTCATATCTGCCTCGCTGCCGTCTAGTCTCAGCTGTCCACCTGCAGCGTCAGCAACTCGCCTCATTTCCCTCCTTTCCTCCGTGTCGTCATTTTTTTCATCATTATCTCAGATAATTCCTGCTCTTTTCATCTGTTTATTCTCATTGAATGGAGATGGGTCAATTTAGAACTATTTTTAGGAGCCGCAGTCGCTCCTGCCCCTGCCTCCCGCTTTGCTGTCCACCTTCCTTGGCTTCCCCCAGCGAGGCCGCTGCTGCTGTTTGCCTAGTCTCTGATACTCCGTTGAGAATCATGGCTCAGATTACTCCTGAGTAAAAAGGCATGGCTATTGGTAGAGAAGAAAACACTTAGAATTTCAAAAATGGCTTGTTTAGAAAAGTCAGTTTGAAAGGGCTTTGTTTGGCATGTGTTGTGTTGCATACATTTCAGGAAAGTGGGTTTAACGAGGGAAGTTTTTTCTTCATGATGTGGTTATCCCCCTTTTTTTTGGAGAGGTTTTTGCTATAGGGTGTGTGCGCTCGCCAGACAGCCCGAGAGAGAGAGAGACAGAAAGCGAGAAATCATCCCCAGGGGGGATGGCCACGCCGCAATCCCTTCTCCTTCATTCTCCTCTTGGGATCTTGGGCACACATGCACACGCGCCCGGCATGAGTTTAAGCCACTGGGTCCGGGATGCGAACCGCGGTCGACTACATGGGAGTCCAGCGACATAGCCATTATGCTAACTGCTGGTCCCGTCTCTTTCTTATTCTAGAATCTTCATCCTCCAAACCTGGAAAGAAAATCCCAGCAGGAGCGGTTTCTGTATTTTTAGGTAACATGACTTTTGTTGTTGTTGTTTTCTATATAAATAACTGTTTTATCGTTTTTTTAAATTGTCATCTTCTAAGGACTGCCTGGGGAGTTAGGAGGTTCTGGGAGCTTCAGAGGGCGTCAAACAACTCACAGAAGGAGCTCGTTGACTGATGTTAGTGCATATTCTCTTAGAAATCAGCTGCCTTGACATTTTTGTTTCTGAGTGCCCAGGTGATTCTGTGGTGTAGGACCTCCTATAGCAGGAATGGGTGGAAGTTATTGGGCCCTGTTAATGTGTTTTGTGGATGAACTAAAACTAAAGGTTCTTGGTGGGTGGTACTGGTTTCCTCATGAAGTCGGGGGCCCCACACTGGCTCACAGCTGTGACTGTCCTGTTCTTCTACCCCAGGGGACACTGATGTGTTTGGTGTCACCTCTACTGCATCTCTCGAGGAGCCCCAGAAGATGGAGCAGCCCATTCCAGGGAAAAGCCCAGGCCTCCCAGCTCCTGCCGGCCTTTTTGATGATGACGATGATGACGATGACTTTTTTGCGGCCTCGGCCTCACGCAGCAAACCTTCCAAGACAGGTACCAGTTCTAGCCTCTGTTCCTGGGATGGGAGCCAGCAGAAGAGGGCTGCTTAGGAAGGACTGAGCTGCCTCGTTCTGCTTCTGGCCGTCTCAGAGCCCTGCTCAGGCGTCCTTGTCCTCGGGTTGTCTCAGCTGTTCTTAGTTATGGTGTCTTGGAGGTCTCCGTTTTATGAGCCGATATTTTCTGTTCTAGAAACTAATTGCTAAGATGATTTTCCTTATAGAGAGCTGGAATCTTTTCTCCTATAATTTCTGCTCAAAATTTCTAGTTCTGACCTTTGAAATTACAGAGTAAGTTTAATCCTATTTTCTCCCAGCAGCCCTTAGTAAATTACATGAGCATAATGTCATGTTCTAGGTGCTTAACCTTTAGCTTGTCTCCTGTCTCCCAAAGGGTTCAGGTGTTCTTGACCTTTCCCTGGGGGAAGGGGATACCCCTTTCCAAGGGGATTTTCAGCCCCTAGGCCACTTTGGTGTGCTCATTTCTTCTCTCAAATTTAAGACAGTATGTTCATAAAGTCATTCCTCCAGATGAGTCATTTGTTAATTCCCAGTTGGATCTCCCAGAGGCTCCTCAGAACGAAGATGATTCGGTGGGTGTAGGGGGGTGCCCAAGTCTGCATTATTAGCAAGCTCCCTGGTGGGCAGAAATCGCTGGTCTGTGACTCATACTTAGAGTAGCAAGACTTAGACATAGTAAGTGCTTTTCCTGAATGGAAAGGTGGATGACTAAGGTGCCTGTAAGTCTCACCAGCTTGGAGAAGGAAAGGATGGCATAGGGATGGATGAAGCCATTCTTACCATTCTTTTCTAGCGTTGGGTATAAACATACGGTAGAAGTGGAAACATGAAGGAATATAATAGCCTTGTTATTTTATCTATTTATTAAATTAACTTTATTTTTAAGAGAGATTTTTGTTATAGGGTACGCTTGCTGGAGACACAGAGAGATAGAAAGTGATAAATCACCCCCCTCCAGGCGGAATGGCCCCACTTCAATCCGTCTCCTCTATTCTCCTCTTGGGATCTTGGGCATGCACACACATGCCTCTGGTGAGAGTTTTAAGCCACCGGGCCCAGGACTTGAACCGTGGTCGGCCATGTGGGAGTCCAGTGATTATACTCTCTGCTGGTCCCGAGTCTTGTTATTTCAGAAGGAGGACAAACAGAGTCATCGGATCTGGACAGATAAGCGACAGTGACTGCAGGTGGTAGTGCCTCGTGCCTCCAAAGGGCCTCACTCAGTACGTGTCCTTGGGAGTTGATTTAGACTTAGAAACAAGTCGATGCTGCTTTCTTTGACAAGTTCTGGTCTCTTGGGACATCCACTCATTGGTGACACATACCCCATTCAGTGCAGCAGGGCTTGTAGGGAGAGGTTGGAAGCCACTCAGGAACCCGTCAGCAGGGTAGTTGGGCTCTCCTAGTCAGTGAGGCCAGTGCATGTCACCTCGAGGGCACATTCTGGGTGTGTAAAGTAGAACATGCAGAAGTGTAAGACAGTGTTCAGATTGTCTCAAAATGTGTAGGCTTACTTCTGAATAACTAAAGTCAGTACGTTCTATGTCCCCTGGGGAAGTAGTAGTGTGTATACCAGGGAGGGCAAGTAGAGTTATGAGGAGATTTCAGTATTTGCTTTTGTTGCTTCTGTATAGTTTTGATTTTTTTTTTTTTAAGTACGAACTAGCCCTCACTTCTCAGATTCCTACAACAGTTGAGTTGGTGGCCTTTTCATGGGTTGTTCTTTCTGTTGGTCTCTACCTTTTAAGCCAGTCCAAGCTACCCTAACAAGGGAAACTGCTGGCTTGGAGGAGTGTGGCAGCCAGGTGGTTAAACTGCCCCATGGTTCGTTTGAGCGGCAGTTGTACTCTTTGAAAAATTCCAAAGGAAAGTAATAGTTCCACTTACTATTTATTTATACCTTATAAGAAAGTGGGATTAGTGAGGGTTATGGGGTGGGGATGAGGAGAAAGCTCCCCCAATGGGGAATTGTCATGAAGCAATTCTTTTTTCTTCATTTCTCCATCTTGTCAGGATCTGCAGCACACATACATGCGTACCTCACATGCTTTTTAAGCCTCTGGGGCCAGGATTTGAACTGGGATCAGCCATGTGGGATCTGACTCTAAACCAACGAGCCATAGGGCCAGCCTGAAAAGCACTTCTAATCTACGAACTTACTGGCAGGATTTTTGATCTTAGTGTAATTCTGCTGTGGTGTCTTTTAAAGACAAAGTCAGATCCACTACGGACATATTTGACGAGGACGACGGAGAGCTGTTCAGAGAAAAAGCAGCTTTGCCGGGAGCTGCTGCGAACCAGACAGATGAGAGGAAAGCAAGAGCAGAAGGAAAGGTGAGCAGAGGGGAGAAGGAACGAAGGGCGGCGCCCAGGTGTCTCGTTACCTCCTCGGAACCCAGGAGGTTCTGCTCCTTGTCCCGGTTAGGCTGAAAACCCTCAGACTGCAGGCAGCTGAAAGAAGAGCACGAGGAACATCTGAATAACGGCCCAGCCCACTGAGCAGTTGCCAGGATCTTGCTAAGTCTTCTCTGTATCTGGACCTTTCTGTATGTTTTTTATTTTTCTGAACTATTTGCAAGGAAGTTGTCATCAGGACGTTTTAACCATGATATTTCAGTGAACGTTAACAGCTCTGAGATGAACAGTTATTCTGGAGTAGAATCTGATTCTAGCCCATATTTAAATCACTCCAGTTTGTCCACTATAATGTCACACCCCACAAATGCACTACTGACTTAAAAAGGATCTTGTACACAGCTCATATTCTGATTTTTTTCTCATCCTAAGAATGCCGTTGGTAGCATTATTTAGTTTTTGTTTTAAAGAAATCCATCCAGACAGCGTTTCTGCATTGATTTGGTTGTCTGTCTCTTTGGTATCCTTTTCATTTAAAACTGCATCCCCACTTTTCTTTTTATTGGCCAGCTGGTTGTCTTGCAGAATATGTCACGTCGTGAATTTGCCTGATTATTTTCCTGCAGTTACCTCAAGTTAAGCATTTTTTGGCAAAAACAGAGGCAGGCAAAGTCATGTACTTACCATTCCCATTGCGTCATCTCCCAAGACACACGAGGCCCACCATCGCCTGCGGTGACTATTTAGTTACCTAGTTAAAATTGCACCCAACACGTTGGTTCATTGGAAAGATGCCTCTTTGTCGTGAATAAACTGACATCTAAAATGACACTGATGCTGTGAATACTCTGTTCTCTACTAGCCTTCTGCTCATTGTTTTACCCAGCCCACTGAGCAGTTGCCAGGATCTTGCTAAGTCTTCTCTGTATCTGGACCTTTCTGTATGTTTTTTATTTTTCTGAACTATTTGCAAGGAAGTTGTCATCAGGACGTTTTAACCATGATATTTCAGTGAACGTTAACAGCTCTGAGATGAACAGTTATTCTGGAGTAGAATCTGATTCTAGCCCATATTTAAATCACTCCAGTTTGTCCACTATAATGTCACACCCCACAAATGCACTACTGACTTAAAAAGGATCTTGTACACAGCTCATATTCTGATTTTTTTCTCATCCTAAGAATGCCGTTGGTAGCATTATTTAGTTTTTGTTTTAAAGAAATCCATCCAGACAGCGTTTCTGCATTGATTTGGTTGTCTGTCTCTTTGGTATCCTTTTCATTTAAAACTGCATCCCCACTTTTCTTTTTATTGGCCAGCTGGTTGTCTTGCAGAATATGTCACGTCGTGAATTTGCCTGATTATTTTCCTGCAGTTACCTCAAGTTAAGCATTTTTTGGCAAAAACAGAGGCAGGCAAAGTCATGTACTTACCATTCCCATTGCGTCATCTCCCAAGACACACGAGGCCCACCATCGCCTGCGGTGACTATTTAGTTACCTAGTTAAAATTGCACCCAACACGTTGGTTCATTGGAAAGATGCCTCTTTGTCGTGAATAAACTGACATCTAAAATGACACTGATGCTGTGAATACTCTGTTCTCTACTAGCCTTTTGCTTAGTGTTTTATTTTAAGAGGTGGTTTTTTTTTTTTTTTTTGCTATTAGGTGTGTGCACTTGCCAGATAGACAGAAAGTGAGAAATCACCCCACTGGGGGTGATGGCCACGCTGCAGTCCCTTCTCCTCCGTTCTCCTCTTGGAGAGGAGACCAGCCATCTGCTCAGTGGCTTTAATATCCACTGATGGTCTTTTCCTAAGCCAGTTACACTGTTAGGGGCACAGCACATGTTTTTGTAATTCTGTTTTCGGTATTTACTAGCTGGCATCCCTGAGTGGAGGAGTGTTCTCTCCTCCTTCCTCCCATTTTTACATTTTTTTTAAGTTTCTTTTTTCTTCTGATAGAGAGAGATAGGGAAGTAGGCATACCTGACAGGATCTTCATGCCTCAGTTCACTTCCAGATCCAGCCACGCAGTCCGTGGCTTGCATTTTGCATTCCTGACGTGTGCAGGGAGGCCCCCGGATGTGAACCAGAGACCTTCCCACTGGGTTCAGCTGCGTTCCTGCTGTCCCACTCTCTGGCCCGTCCTCCCATTTTAGTATTGCGTGGGATGGTGGGTTCTACCCATTACCTTCATAATACTGGTAACAGATAATACCATCATAATACTCTTGCATAAAAAGCGCATCATGACTTACCCAACAACCTGATGTGATTTGATGTGGAGACAGACCTGTACTGGGCCAGGGAGTGGCCACCCATCAGTCTAAGCTCTTCAGACTACCGCCCTCTGCTCTGTCCTGCACAGTCTGAGCCCTCCTTTTTCTGAAGCACCCTCATCATATCCTATGCTTGCTCTGGAACCTGGACTTTCCCCTGCCCACCACCCAAGGCCCAGCCCTCAGGCAGTCATGGAGAGTGCTGACAGATGAGCCAGTGCCTGGGTGTGTGACAGCCCTGAGAGTGCTCCTGTCAGTCCTCCGCCCAGGTGCAAGGTCAGGTTCCGAGGACAGCCTCCCTTCCACCCCATTTCTAGTCGCACACGTCCCCTTGGTGCACCGCTCGGCCTCGGCAGTCTGTCCCACACCCTCTGCTGGAGCTCGCTCCTCTCTCCTCACACGTTCCCTCTACCTGGAGCGTTCTTGCCCGTGTCATCTCCCCACATCCAGGCCTCGTCTGTCCTAAGCACAGCACTGTCTCAAGGAACTGTTTCTCCTTTTCATAACATAAACTGGCTTTGAAATTCTTTCTAATGATACTTCTCTCTTTGTTTTAATTCTCTGTGTGAACTTTAAACACACCCAAAGTCCACGGCATCTTTATCCCCTGGTACATGGCATTGCACCTTATGGTAGCAGAGGCTCAGTACATTTTCTGAATAAAGAATGGTTGAGTAAATCCTCATTTCCAGATAGCTTACTTTTTTTTTTTTTTCTAATTTGCTTGAGGGCATATGGGCTCACCAGAGGGTCAGAGAGAGAGAAGGAAAGTGAGAAAGTATCCCCCATGTGGGATGGTCACACCACGGTCCCTTCTCAATTCTCCTTTCGGGGTTTTGGCCACACATACACATGCACTCAGCATGTTTTTCAAGCTACTGGGTCACGACTCACCTGTGTTGTTGGCCACGTGGGATTCAGCAGCCTTAGCCACCGTGCCACCGGCTTGCCCTCCATTTATCTTAGCTGTTGATCTTCATTTTTATTTTTCCCAACACAGGTTGCCCTTCCTCCTAGCAAGAATGTCAAGCTCTTGCCAGAGACCAAGATTCAAAAAGGTTTATTTTCAGATGAAGAGGACTCTGAGGTATGGAATTCTTTCTATTCTGGATGTTAGTTTGTGAGCGTGACATTGGAAATGATTTCTGAATTAGGTAGAGGTAGAAGACTTTTTGTTAAGTTCCACAGTTCTTTGAAAATAATCTTCAGAATATACAGTCTTCAGAAAGTGATACATAGACGGGCCTTTCCAGTTTGGGGCTTAAATCTATTGCATCTCTTAGAGGAGGATTTTTCTTCCAGATGCCCCAGTCTTTGGTTGTTTGAGAGTCTGCAGGGTGGTGGGGCGCTCATGCCATGGTGAAGGTCAGCTGCTTCCTTTATTGGCCACTCCACTGACTCGGTAGTGGGCTCAGTGCCACGATGCTGAGTGTTCGGGCTCCGCTTGCCATCTAGTCATGACTGGTCACAAGTTGCGGTGGCCCTGGCTCACAGACTGCCTCAGTCTTCCCAGGCCTGCTAGGACAGCTTTCCCGAGCATCACTGTTGTTTCTGACTCCCTCAGGCCGAGGTCTTTTTACAACTAATTTGAGGCTACTACCCTAGGGGATAGGAGGCCTGTGTGAGAATGTAATGGGAAATGATAAGTCCCCTTCACGGAAAAATACCGGCCATGGCAGAAGTTTATATATCATTTCAAGCATTTGTGGACTCTGGTTAAGCTCTCGTGGGTAGCTTTGCACCCACAGCCAGGATGAACGTGGCGCTCTCTGGCAGTGCAGTGATTCCCCTTGACATAAACAACACCTGCGAGGCCTGTATGTCACTGAAGGCTGCCATACACGTGGAGCTAGCCGAGTCCAGTTAAGCCAAACCATTGATGCCCGAGGCACATGCTCCCTGCTGTCGCCTCCCTTCCTCACTGTCTGCACCCCTGCACTTTGGGGTCTTGGACTGGCTCTGCGCCCTTCCCAGAATCTGCACGCTCACATCCTCACCCCTCCTGTTCTCTGGGAGGCCTCTCCTGACCACCCTGCACACAACAGCAGGTCTGCAGCATACGCCCCGCTGCACTCCTGCCTGCACTCTGTGTCATTGTTTCCCGCGGTGCTCATCGCCCCATGATGGTGTATGTTTACTTGCCCGTTGTCTGTCCTCCCAACAGAACAAGCAGCATGGAGCAGGGACGTTTCATTTCCTGCTTGTGTCCCCCATGTCCTGTCTCTAATTCAGTGGTTGGTAATTGTCAACTAGATTTAAAAAACTAAATGTGAGCAGTCTCAATGACTTAGGAGGTATTCTTGTTACTTAGTGCTATAAAACAAATCACTCCAAAATTTAGTGGTACGAAGCACTGCTAATCTGTTGTCTCTGACGGCTCTGGAGGTTGACGGGGCTCTGCTCTGCAGTTGTCAGTGAGGGTCTCATGTCTGGAGGTGACTGGGCTGAGAGTCATGTAAGTCTCATGCCTGGGTGGGAGTGACTTGGACAGCTGGGGCTCCTGGGCCACCCCTCCATGCAGTCTCCTGGCATATTCATGTGGTGTCTCAGGAATCCAAGTGAGAGTGCTGAGAGGAAGCTGGCTGAAGGCCATGGCACCTTTTGCAGCCCGGCCTTGGAGGTCAGTGGTGCTCCTTTTGCCACATCGAGGCAGTCATAAAGCCTGTTCAGGGTCAAGGGGAGGTGCTGTAGCCTCCATTTTTTTTTTTTTGAGAGATTTTCACTGTAGGGCGTGTGCGCTCGCCAGACAGACAGAGAGAGACATAGAGACAGAAAGCGAGAAATCACCCCCCAGGGGGGATGGTCACGCCGCAATCCCTTCTCCTCCATTCTCCTCTCGGGATCTTGGGCACGCACGCACACGCACCCAGCGTGAGTTTTAAGTCACCGGGTCCGGGACACGAACCGCGGTTGACTATGTGGGAGTCCAGCGACATAGCCATTACGCTAACTGCTGGTTCCCTAGCCTCCATTTTTGATGGTAGAACTGTAAATGAATTTGCAGACTCATTTTAAAGCCACCACCAAAGGCGTCGGCCCATGTGCATCATTGCAGAGTGAGTGTTTTATTGGATACCGTCAGGATTCTTAGGCAGGGAGAAGTCAAGCTGTGCAGTGTCAGAGACCCAGCTTGGGGCCAGGAGGAAGAGTTCTGCACTCTTGCCTGTGCATCCCAAGGGTGGAGCTGAAGCTCGCCCTGCGAAGTCATCTGGGGGGACATGCTCGAGGTAATGGAAATGGCTTCTTTCCCAGTGCCAAGGGAAGGATCAGTTAAGGAATCAAAATTGTGACGCTGAAACTTGTTTTTCATTCTTGCTTTGCTTTGCCTTTGTTTTCTTAAAGTAACAGGGTCCTGTCTTTTGCTGATGTGTAAAGTGCAGGAGATGGAAAGCTGGAGTCATCCCCCCACCCACCTCCCCATGGCCTCTTCTACCTGGACAAACCTACAGGACGCTGGAGCATAGACAAACCCACTTTGCTGGGTTAATGAACTCATTAGATCTATTTAGGGAATAGACAACTGATTTCATAATTTTCAAAATTATCCAAAGAGGTTTTAGAAAATGTGTTCTCATTCTTTTTAATTGTCTGACCTTTGCAAATTGAAGTTTCTCTTCCCAAGGGAAGAATAGTCCTATTTTCTGTTTCTGACTTGTGTGATTCAGTTCAAGGATCTTCCTTTGCAGTATAGGCTGACATTTTATGTTGTCTTTGTTATTGCCAGAGTGTGTTCTCCCTAGAGAGATATACAGGGGAGGGAAAGCAGCCTTCAGTGGGCGTGGTCATGCTGCAGTCCCCTTTCCTCCATTTCTCTGTCCTACCAGGATTTGGGGCACATGTGCACATGCACCCAGTGTTATTTTTAAGCTACTGAGTCCAAGATTCGAACTGTGGGATCTGGCTGTGCCACAGTGCACAGGGCTTAACTCCCAAGCTCCAGGCCTGCCCAAGGCTGACATTTTATAACATTTTGAAATTTCTTTGGAATCTAGAGGTCTTTTCTTGGTTCGCAATATCTCATAGTTATCATCCATATAGAACAGAAAGTATTTTGAATTAAAATATAATTTTTACTTATTTAAAGGAAATACCATACTCTTAGGAGAGATGTTTCTGTTATAAATAAAAGATATGTAGATGCAGTAATTTGGGACTCTAGCCTGTTTCAATGACTGAATCTGTTTAATCTCTTCAACTTTAGACAGAAAAGGAAGTCACTTCCTTTTTGTTTGTTTTTAGCATAGTTGGACATTTATCAGAAAAGTTCTTCCTGCCTTACATCATTCAGGTGGGGGTATAGAAGCCTGTGGGGTCCAGGGAGGCCACTGAAGAAACACAGGCCTGTCTCTTTAAGGACTCTGTCTGAGCTGCCTTCTCTGACGGGAAAACCAAGCACGAGGCAGCCCTCATATTCTGGTCTTTCACGGTTTATATGGCCAATGCTTAAAAACCAGAACACGCCGTTAACAACAGCTTTGATCTCTGTCCAACAGGATTTGTTTTCTTCTCAAAACACGAGTAAGTTAAAAGGTGCATCTTCGCTGCCTAGCAAGCCCCCTGTGTCGGTCTCCCTGTTCGATGATGAAGATGAAGAGGTGAGCACTGTGATGGCAGACCCTGGGTACTTAACCTCGATCAGGAGGAGGATGTGGTGGATGTAACTGTATGGCCAGAGGCTCGTGCAGTAGGAAAGGTGAAAGGGAAGTAGTCAGGCACCCCGAGGCTTATAGAGTGAAAACATTTCTATTCTGCTTTAGCGACTCCTCCATAGTGTTCCTAGCTGTACAATGGGTAGGAAATTAGACTCTTCACCCAGTTCTTGTAGAGGGCTTTCCACATTTCATTTTTAAAAATACGCTTTTGAAAATACTTTTTAGAGCAGGAGTCTCCAATTCGCAGGCCATGCTCCATGGCCTCTTGGGAGCTGGGCTGCTGGCCGGTGCCTGTCAGCTTAGAGAGCGGGTGGGCGGTGGGCGAGCAAGTGAGCCTTCCTCTGTGTTTGCACCACTCCCCATCATTCATGGCGCTGCCTGGGCTCCAGCACCCGTTGGATCAGCAGCGGTGCTGGATTCTCCTGGAGCATGAGCCCTGATGTCGTGTGATTATTTCATCGTGTGTTGTAATGTGGCCATGGTGGAGATGGGGTGCAGGGTGGATGTGGTGCGACTGGGTCATCTCGGCACACCACCCTCCCCACCTCACAAGTCCACGGAGGTAGTGTCTTCCACGAGCCATCCCTGATGCCAGGGAGGCTGCAGACCACTGTTTCAGAGGACGGTCTTTATCATACTCAATGATCCATAAGCATGTCTTGGATAAAGTTGGGGTAGAAAGGAGAAGAAAGCCTTGTCCTGACCTTGGATGGAGAGAGCAGAGTGAGGGAGAAAAATTGAGAAGACACAGCAAACCTGAACCTTATGTAGTATTGCATGGTGGCTAAGCTCACAGACTTTGGCATCAGACCCTGGGTTCATATTCTGGCTCCCGCTGTTGTAAACCAGGGACCTTGAGCAAGTAACATAACCTTTCTGACTCTCCTGTGGCGTAATAGTGAATGGGGTTGTGGCAGCTGAAACAGTAACAAACGTGAACCGCACGTGCATGGTGAATGCTAGCACGGTGTCCCTAGTATCCCCACTAGACACCAGCCACTGTTCTCGTGGCCTTTCCCGCCTCACCACAGCTCCTTACAGGCTCCTTTCATTGATCTGTACATTCACCTGCCTCACCTGCCGTAGCATTTGTTAAGGGCTTTTCCAGCCTAACAGGCGCAGCCCCCCTGGTGGTTTCTGGTACTGTAATAAAACTACCTTAATATAGATGCTTTTGGAGTGTTTGTCTATAAAAGAATTTACAGATGCCTTGTACTGTAAAAATCAGCCCTTAGTACACCAGACATTTGTTTAGTAAACTAGTATTTGACCTCATATTATCTCTTTAAACTTCACTAGAAGCAAGTCATGCCTTCCCTGTGTTCCAGGTATGTGCCTGTCTTAGGTGTAAAAGAATGAAGAAAGCCTCAGTTCTTTCCTTACATCCATTGCTCTGGGTTATAATTCGTAGAGAAGTGTGAGCTGCTATTTGCTGTAGGGACTCTCATGCCACTCACAGGCTCAGCCTCCTCAGGCTCCATGAGCAAAGAGGGGCCTCCCACAGGAGGACTAGAGGGCTGCAGGTCTTCTTCGATCTTGTGACCTGGTGCTTCCTCCTGCTGCCTCCCAGCTCTGCTGTCTTCAAACGCTGTGGTTGTCTGTTCCTGGCCACGGGTGGAAAGTGCAGTAAGAAAGGCTGGAGAGTGTGTTTACTAGCATTTTGTGATTGTGTTTTCCTTCTCCAAAGGAGTTATATTTTGTACGGCTAGAGACTTATTCCTTAACAGTCTGAAAATGTAAAATATCTTACTATTTCTATTTTATATGTATGAAGTTACATCTTTCTTCCTTTTTTTTTGTTTTTTAGGATAATCTTTTTGGGGCTACAGCTGCTAAGAAGCAGACTGCATCTCTGCAAACTCAGAGTCAAGAGAAAGCAAAACCCCTTGAACCATCCAGAAAGAAAGCATCTGCCTTATTGTTCAGTAGTGATGAGGAGGTAGGTGTGGGCTAAGATCTCTCTTAAGGAAAGGATTTAAGACTTACAGTTGGAACCAGCAGTTAGCATAATGGCTATGTCGCTGGACTCCCACATAGTCGACCGCGGTTCGCATCCTGGACCCAGTGGCTTAAAACTCACACCGGGCGCGTGTGTGTGCGTGCCCAAGATCCCGAGAGGAGAATGGAGGAGAAGGGATTGCGGTGTGACCATCCTCCCTGGAGGGTGATTTCTCGCTTTCTGTCTCTATGTCTCTCTCTGTCTGGCGAGCGCACGTCCCCTATAGCGAAAACCTCTCAAAAAAAAAAAGACTTACAGTTATCCTGAACACTTTTTATTTACTACCTACCGTATATCTAGTGAAGTTTAGTAACCAAAGATGTTCACAAAAAGTGACTTTATTTATTTATTTATTTAGAGGTTTTTGGTATAGGGTGTGTGTGTGCTCACCAGAAAGGCAGAGAGAGACAAAGAGACAGAAAGCAAGAAATTACACCCCTGGGGGGATGGCCAGCCACTATCCCTTTTCCTCCAGTCTCCTCTTGGGATCTTGGGCACACACGCACACGTGCCTGGCATGTTTTTAAACTACTAGGTCCGGGACTCGAACCATGGTCAACTACATGAGAGTCCAGTGACATAGCCATTATGCCAACTGCTGGTCCCTCAAAAATGACTTTTTTTTTTAAAAAAATATATTTAGTGAAATATGTTAAGGAATAATCTTTTCAAAACAGTTAAGAATGAGTATGGCCCCCAAACTATAGCATATGCTAATTCAAATTTGTGGGGCAGACACCAACTCATCACACGGTTCATGGCTGCAGTCCTTGAATACACAGGCAGAATAACAAGAGAAATGCGTGCATTCAGTATTCATGTAAGGTAAGTTTCACCTGCTATGGGAGCCCTCAGAAATGGAGACCCAGAGAATGGAAACACATGTATATTTTTGCTAAGTCTGATGAAGAAGTGGATAGGCATTATTGGTCGAAGAAGTGGAGAACCCATGACTGGTCCAAAAGGGGTATGATCGAATGGTAATTAACTGGGGAACTTACCCCTTCAGGCTACTTTGGTCAGATTCTTCTCTAAGTCTTCAGACATGAGGCCCATCTTTCCTTCCAGGTATGAGGAGGATATACATATCTTTAGAATGAAGTTCTTGTGACCTTCATTTATGGCCTGTGTCAGGAGAAAAGGACAAGGACACGGTCAGAGAGATGTCCCTGTTCTGGTTTTCTCAAATGCCAAGGTGCTGTATTTGGGGGTAACATGTCCTCTGCCCTATCAGTTATGCGTTATCTTGTTAAATGACTGTTGTATCTCATTAATTTAGAATAGCTCGACGTGGGAGGAGTAGTCTATGCAAGTATAACTTCTTTATTGTAGGAGTCTTCACATCATTTCCATTTTCATCTAAACACATGTAGTGAAGTCATTGGTGAATATGGCTTAGCTACCGTTCAGATTTATCTGTGGGAAAAACTTCAGATATCAAGCTATTAAAAAATCTTAAGCATTGAAGCCAGCAGGTGGCATAGTGGATAAGGTGTTGCACTCCCACATGGCTGATTGTGGTTTGAGTCCCAGACGTGGCAGCTTGAAACTCATGCCAGGTGTGTGTGTGTGCATGCCTGCCCAAAATCCCACGGGAGAATGGAGGAGAAGGGATTGTGGCATGGCCATCCTTCGTAGGGAGGGGGGTGATTTCTCACTTCCTTTTCTCTCTTTGTCTCTCTGGTTAGTGCACACACCTTACAGCAAACATCTTTCTTTAAAAAAAAAATATAGGGCCGGCAAGTGGAGTGGTGGTTAAAGGCGCTGGACTCCCACATGGCTGACCACGGTTCAAGTCTCGGACCTGGTGGCTTGCTTTCTCACTACCTCTCTCTCTCTCTGATTAAACTGAAAAATAATGATATAATAATAAAGTTAAATAAAATAATTCTTTAACAAATAAATAAATAAATAAATAAATAAATAAATAAATAAATCGGGACCAGCAGTTGGTATAATGGCTATGTCGCTGGACTTCCATGTAGCTGACCATGGGAGTTCGAGTCCCAGACCCTGTCGTGGCTTAAACTCACACTAGGCGTGTGTGCGTGTGTGCCCAAGATCCTGAGAGGAGGATGGAGGAGAAGGGATTGTAACGTGGCTATCCCCCCTGGGAGTCGACTTCTCTCCTTCTGTCTCTCTGTCTTTCTGGTGAGTGTACACACCCTATAGCAAAAACCTCTCAAAAAATAAAAAATCCTAAGCATTAAACACCCTTGTGTGTTACAATAATTAGTTCTTAATATTATAGGCAAGTCATGAGGGCATGAGGTAGATAAACTGTAGGCACGTACATGTAGGTACATACATGTTATAACATGGTGTGAGACTGCGTCCAACCTGCCCTGGCCTCCACAGCTTTGATTCACAGAGAACAAAGGACCACTTGAACAGGTGTTTTGCAGTTCCTTGGTTTGAAGGGGTGACTGTAGCCTGGGCGAATTTCCTTAAATGCTTTCTAAAGGCCAGATTAAACTTTTGTGGTTAAAAATTACTAGCAGTTTTCACTGTGTTTTGTTTACCTGTGTGTTGCTTGTGCCTTTTGCATTTTTTTTTTTTTTGCTGTCTGTTTTGGGATATTTAAATTAAAATAATATTCTTCTCTAAAGTTGAGAATTCTTAATTTTTTTACATTTCTCTTTTTTCTTATCCCTCTCTATAATTTTGATCTACAAATTACCTTGTCTTAACATAGGACAGAACCATGAAGGGGAGAAACATGGCAGGTGGTAGGTGTGGAGGTCATGAACAGGTCTTTGAAGTCAGAGAACCCAGCTGTTACATTCAAAGAGAAGTCTTGGACACAAACATTTTTTTTTTTTGGAGAGGTTTTTGCTATAGGGTGCGTGCGCTCGCCAGAGAGACAGAGAGGGACAGAGAGACAGAAAGCGAGAAATCCCCCCCCCACAGGGGGGATGGCCATGCCACAGTCCCTTCTCTATTCTCCTCTTGGGATCTTGGGCACACACGCACAAGTGCCTAGTATGAGTTTAAGCCACTGGGTCTGGGACTTGAACTGCAGTCAACTACATGGGAGTCCAGTGACATAGCCATTATGCCATCTGCTGGTCCCAGCTACTGCATTTGTAATATATATTTTATGTTTTAAGGATCAGTGGAATATTACTGATTCACAGACAAACTCAGCTTCTGACAACAGATCCAAGGGAGAACTTGGGGATTCTGGGACTGTCCAGGGCCAAGAGGCCAAGGCTGTGAAAAAGACAAGTCTTTTTGAGGAGGATGATGAAGATGATTTATTTGCTATTGCTAAGGACAGGTGAGTCATTGTAAGAATATTAGATGGGATATTTATATCAGTGTTATAACACACTGCTAGATTTACTATGGATTCAGAATAACTCCCCTGCAAGTAATTTTTTTTCTTCTGAGAGCTTTAAATGATTACTTTGAAATTTGATTAAATGGTAGTAACTTAAAGAGGCAATTGATTGGGCACATAAATCCTATGCATTGGTATGGTTAAGCGTCATTTAATGGATTGAGAAGACCTCGGTATTCTCTGTCTGTATACTGTGATCGCTTCACATGTCATTTCTACTTTAAGCCCATGAGACTTGATACCTGAACGTATCAGCCTCTGGTTAAGGATGTAAGCTCTGGATTCTCCATATCTGCTGTTAAATTCTGGCCGTTAGAGTTTGTATGTTTTGCAAGTTATCTAACTTCTCTGTGCTTCAGTTTTCTCATCTGCTAAATAAAAGTAATGGTGGTACTTGTCTCATAAGCTTGTTGAGATGGCTAGATAGATGAAATGCACACGCGAAATGCTTAGCACGCTAGCTGGCACCTGTCAGCGCTCAGATGTCACCATTTAGTATTACGAGTGAAGGGGAAAGATTTCATTCCTTTATTGTTGTTGCCCTCTCCTGGGTCACTCTTCTTCCTGTCTTACCCGGCCAGCTTCTTTCAAGGTCCAGTGTGATGTATAAGACCCTCTTGTAAGAAGCCTTCCCTAAGTGAAGAAGAAATGGGGGAGGGTCTGGGCCCAGCCACCAGGATAAGCCCTTCCTCACCTGCAGTGACTTCGCTGTAGTTGGGCATTTTTCAGACCACATGGAGCTTCCTCATGGTGTACGTGTGTACCATGTCCTCCACACGTGGTCGGTTCAGTGATCTGAAACGTGTCTCAGTCACATGGCACCAGCCACGTGCACTGGGGCTTCCTTGATGCCTTCTCTGCTCCATCCTTATTTCGCCACCAGTTGTTCCTAAAGTTGTTTGTGAGATTTTGTGTCTGGGAATGAATTTATGACTTTCATCAGAAGATTTTCAAGCAATAGTAAGTGTAGCTGAGGACGTGGAGGAATTGGAACCCGCACATACTGTTGGGGAGGAGGTCATATGGTGTGGCCGCTTTGGAAAACGGTATGCATTTCCTCTCAGTGTTAAACGCAGAGATACCACATGACCCAGTAACCCCACTGCCAGGTATATACGAGACAAATGAAAACATATATTCATATAAAAACTTGTGTGTGTTCATCATATTATTTGTAATAACCAAAAAGTGGAAACAATCCATCAACTGATGACTGAACAAACAAAATATGTAATCGTACAGTGGACCGCGGCGAAGTTCAGCAGTAGGAAGAGCAGAGTCCTGTACGTGCTAGCACGGGAAGGAGCTAGAAAAGATGAAGGTAGTTGAAAGAAGCCAGTCAGAAGACCGCATATTGTGTGGATCCGTTGTTTGCAATGTCCAGAAAAGATAAATACACAGGGACAGAAAATTGGCTAGTGGTTGATAGGGACCGCAGGGTGGGGAGAATGGGAGTGAGTGGTTGTTAATGGCAGGGGTTCCTTTTTGTGGTTAACAAGTGTTGTGAACTTAGATTGTACAACATTATGGATATACTAAAATCCACAGAAGTCTACTTTAAAGGGATTAATTTTGTGTTATGTAGATAGTCTTAATAAAAGTACTATGAAAAAGTGAATAGTTCACAGGGTCTTGTCCTAATGCTGGCTCTGGCCCTGTGGCCTCTAGTGGCCACTGCCTTCCACTTTGGAAGTAGACACAGCTGCGTCTGCTCCTTCCCCTGCCGTGGGAAGCGGTTAAAGGACACTGTACCTGTGAGTGCTTAGACTGTGTGCATTGGCAAACCGACAGCCGGTGTGCCTGCCCTGAGTGGGCAGTGTCTGAAAAGGGAGGTGAGGAGGGCCCGGACTCCTCTAAGTACAAGGGACACAGGCTGATATAGTGGAGACACATTTCCCCTCCTTCAAAAATTTCTGCCGTTTGCTTTCACTCTTGTAAAGTCAATAGATGACTCAGCGGTTTTGGTGGTAGGTGTGTTCTTGTAGGTGTAGCCATGAAGGACAATTGTTTTTATTTGTAAATTGCATTTCTCCTTGGGTTGACTCTCTGTTCGCATAGCCAAAAGAAGACCCAGAGAGCATCACTCCTTTTTGAAGACGACGCTGACAGTGGAAGCTCTCTGTTCGGCTCTCCTCCCGCATCTGCTCCTCCTGCAGCAACGGTATGCTCCACCTCGTAGGCCTGGGAAATAGCCTGAAGGTTATGCTGAGCTGGGCTGTGCTTGGAACACGAGGAGAGTTTCCTTCTGCAGGAGTGAGGGGAGCACAGTGCAAACGTGTGCTGGGAGACAATAAAGATGTGTGAGCAGGAGTGAGGGAGTACAGTGCAGACGTGTGAGGGCAGCGCAGTGCAGACCTGTGAGGGGAGCGCAGTGCAGACGTGTGAGGGGAGTGCAGTGCAGACGTGTGAGGGCAGCGCAGTGCAGGCGTGTGAGGGGAGCGCAGTGCAGACGTGTGAGGGGAGCGCAGTGCAGACGTGTGAGGGCAGCGCAGTGCAGACGGGTGAGGGCAGCGCAGTGCAGGCGTGTGAGGGAGAGCAGTGCGGACGTGTGAGGGCAGCGCAGTGCAGACGTGTGAGGGGAGCGCAGTGCAGACGTGTGAGGGCAGCGCAGTGCAGGCGTGTGAGGGAGCGCAGGGGAGGTAGGACAGCAAAGCGCAGTGCAGACGTGTGAGGGGAGCGCAGTGCAGACCTGTGAGGGGAGCGCAGTGCAGACGTGTGAGGGGAGTGCAGTGCAGACGTGTGAGGGGAGCGCAGTGCAGACCTGTGAGGGGAGCGCAGTGCAGACGTGTGAGGGGAGTGCAGTGGGGAGTGCAGTGCAGGCGTGTGAGAACAGCGCAGTGCAGACCTGTGAGGGGAGTGCAGTGCAGACGTGTGAGGGGAGTGCAGTGCAGACGTGTGAGGGGAGCGCAGTGCAGACGTGTGAGGGCAGCGCAGTGCAGACGTGTGAGGGCAGCGCAGTGCAGGCGTGTGAGGGAGCGCAGTGCAGACGTGTGAGGGCAGCGCAGTGCAGACGTGTGAGGGGAGCGCAGTGCAGACGTGTGAGGGCAGCGCAGTGCAGACGTGTGAGGGCAGCGCAGTGCAGGCGTGTGAGGGGAGCGCAGTGCAGATGTCTGGAAGTGTGTGGTAGATTTAGGACAGCAAAGCCTGACCAGGTGCAGATGAGTAGAGGGCTGTGCTGGGGTATCTGCTGATCATCCTTACCTGATGCAGAGTGTCCTCTGGGGGCAGGAGTCGAAGTATGCAACAAGACAAGTCTGGGTGAAGACTTCCAATTGAAGGGGTAAGAGGAGAGGGGCAGAGAGAGACTAGTAACTGTCTGGGTGGCAGAGGGGAGAACCCGAGCGAGGGCAGTACGGGGAGACACAAGGAGGCAGAAGTAGGCATTGTGGTGGCAGAATCCGTGAAGTGCCATGTCCAGAAGTCCAAGGCAGTAGTGCGTGTTGCCTCTCCCTGTTGGCGCCACTTCCACTGTCCTGTCCCCTTTCACCACAGCAGTTAGCTCACCCCCTAGGGGAACTGGTTCCGACATATTCTGTACATAGCCATGTGGTCAGGTACTTTGTAATTGTTGATGTTGTCTACTCTTCTTTTGGTAGAAAAAAGAGACCATCTCTGAGGTTCCACCTTTGCTGTTCAGCGATGAAGAAGAGGAGGCACAGTTGAGAGTGGAATCCGAGGATAAGAAGGTTGAGAGTGTCAGAGAGTCACCGGAGCTTGGGAGAGCCCATGAGACTGAGGAGTCAGAACAGGTGAATTTTTTTCTTGAGTACCCTAAGGATAGATTTCTCTTGTATGTTACTGTAAAACACACCCTTCCCCACACACCTGTACACCCTTACATTTTTCTACCACAGAAAGTTAATGGCTCATTTGTAGACAGATTTTTATGTTTAGTTGATGTTGGCTATGATTTACAGAGTAGAGTGAAATGTGTATTTCTTCTAAAATCTAGCTTTCTTCTCCTGAATAGTATTAGGTGGTTGGGAAAATCATGAGGTGTTTTTCCATTTTTTTAATGCAAAAATGTGTCATGACTTTCCCAATGACCCAATATGTCATCTCTTGAGGCTTATTACTGGCTACATCCAGTAACCCAGTGTCTGTGGCTACCTTCCATCTCTGCATTTTCTTCTTCCTTTTTTCCTTACGCTCCACGTGCTCAGCTCCCTAGGTTTAATTTCTCTCTTGTGTGAAGAGTGGTGCATTTACTTTTCCTGTTGAGGCTTCTGGAGCTCCACTGACAGTGCTTTATTTGGACCTGTGCTGTTGTGTAACACTCTCTTCCCCGCAGCCGAGTGTGGGCCTGAGCTAGCCGGATCTTAGCCCACCTCGTGCTCGGCCGCCCTCTCTCTCACTTGGGTGTCAGCTCCGTGAGGATTTGGCCCAGGTTTGTTTTGTTCGCTGTTGTATCTGTAGCACATTTTAGTGTATTGTCTTGTACACAGTGGGCACTATTTTATAAATTACATATTCCAAGAAACACATTTTTTTAGTTTATTCACTCTGAAATTGGGATACACTTCACAATCAATGGCAGGTTAATTGGGAGTTGTTTTTTTCTTGGTGGTATGTACAATAATAGTGGTTCAGGTAAAATTGGAGGCCTCTTAGGTGAATGTACTTATTGAATGAGTAAATGCTGCACTAACCTCTAAGATTATTTCAGGGGTTCTTCTTATTGTGTGTACAATGTAAGACTTATAAAATTCGAGCATCTGATTTTGCTGGTTAGGTTTCCCCTTGGGCTGATGTTTAGTTAAATATTAGGTAATGTGCGATCCATTTCCAGCGATTGGCGTTTGTGTTATCTTTGTGACTTGGAGGTTCTTTGTAGCTTGTGAGTAGCCTGTATGTATCAGGATTCTAGCTGTCTTGTCACTTGGTAAGAGGGAGGAACCCATAGCCTTAAACTGATTGGAAAAATGATCTTCAATGTCTGTGGATTATCTGTAGAAAGATTCCATTGGAGAAGCAAATTAAGAATTGACCTCAGTGATTCGTTACTCAGAAGCAGATGTGACTAGTGGTAGTGGCCCAAATCATGCAAATGCTGTAGTTAGTGAATTAATGAGCAGCTAGAGAGGCCCACACTAGGATGTGTGTTTCTAAGTATTACTAATTTTTTTTCCTGACTATTCCCATTTTCAGAAAGGACTTTTGACTGTGTCTGCACAGGAAGCAGTCAAGCATTCTGATTTGTTTTCTTCATCGTCTTCACTGGACAAGGGAACCAAGGGGAGAACCAAAACTGTTCTTAGCTTATTCGATGAGGAAGAAGACAAAACGGAAGATCAAAACAGCACTCGGGCTCCCCAGAAAGATACAGGAAGGGTGAGCAAAAAGCAGTGAAGGTTCACATTTCTAAATGGGATAGAAGAATCATTTCAAGGCATCAGTTCATTAAAGACAGAAAACAGATGGAAAGAAATTTCCTGTGTATGGTCCAGAATCCTTAATATTGTTTAGATGGCAGTATCCACCAAGTTAATCTGTAGATGAGATGCAGTTCCTATCAAAATTCTATTTTTTTTCTTTTTTTTGAGAGTTTTTTGCTATGGGGCATGTGCGCTCGCCAGACAGACAGAAAGAGACAGAGAGATAGAAAGTGAGAAATCACCCCCCAGGGGGGATGGCCACGCCGCAATCCCTTCTCCTCCATTCTCCTCTCGGGATCTTGGGCACATACACACACGCACCTGGCGTGAGTTTAAGCCACCAGGTCCGGGACTTGAACCACAGTCGACTACGTGGGAGTTCAGCGACATAGCCATTACGCTAACTGCTGGTCCTAAAATTCTATTTTACTCTTTGCAGAAATGGACGAAGTGATCCTAAAATTGTTATGAAAATACATGGAATCTACGGTAGCCAACAGTCTTGAAAGAGAGCAAAGTCAGAGTTCTCACGATTTCCAATTTCAAAACTTGAAGATAGTTAAAATATATAGATTGGTGAAATAGAATTGGGAGTCTAGAAATATACATCATATTTACAGTGAGTCAGTTTTTGACAAGGATGTCAAGATAATTCAGTGGTGATAAATAATCTTTCAATAAATGGTGCTGGAACTTTGATCATCTCTATGCAAGGGATGAGGTTGGACCCTTCCCCCACCATACACAAAAGCTAGACTTAGAATAGATCATCGGTCTAGATGTAAGAACTAGAATTACACAGCTCTTAGAAGAAAATACATGAGCAAATCATCATGACCTTGGATTAGGCAAAGCCTTCCTAGGTACAACATTGGACTTCATTAAAATGAAAAAATCTGTGCTTTGAAGGATACCTTTAAGAAAGTTAAAAAAAATAAAAAGAGCTGGCCCATAGCTTAGTGATTAAGGGAGCCGGATCCCACATGGCTGACTGCAGTTTGATTCCCAGTCTCAGCAGCTTGAAAAACATACCAGGTACATGTGCGTGTGCTCAAAATCTCAACAGTACAGAGAAATGGAAGAGAAGGGATTGTGGTGTGACTATGTGCGATTGGGAGGGGTGCATCTCCCCCCCCCCCCCCCCCAGTCTGTCCCTGGTAATTGCATGCACTCTCTGGCATCTAAAACAAAAATAGGAAGTCGAAAAACAGTCCATTGAATGAGAAAATATTTTTAAGTCATATATTTAATAAGGGACTTAGATCCAGAGTATGTGAAAGACTTACATCCTGATAATAAACAAGCAGCCCAATTAAAAGATGAGCAAGGGGGGGCCGGCAGGTGGCATGGTGGTTAAGGGTGCTGGACTCCCACATGACTGGCTGTGGTTTGAGTCCTGGACCAGGCTGCTTGCTTTCTCACTTTCTCTCTGTCTTTCTTCCCCCCACTGTGTACCTCTCTGGTCAAATTAAAAAATACATAAAGCTAAATAAAAGAATTTTTAAAAAAATTTTAAAAAAGAAAAAAGATGAGCAAAGGCTGGCCCTGTAGTGCGGTGGTTAAGGGAGCCGAATCTCATATGGCCAGCTGCAATTGGAATCCCAGCCCTGATGGCTCAAAAAACAGGCTGGGCACATGTGTGTTCTCAGTCCTGACAGAATGGAGAAATGGAGGAGAAGGGATTGTGACATGAGCATGCCCCATTGGGGGAGGTGCTTTATCATTAGAGAAATACAAATCAAAACCACAAGGAGATACCATTTCACAACCAATAGGATGGGTATAATAAAAAAAGATGAAAGAAACAAGTGTTGGTGAGGATACAGAGAAACAAACTCTTTCATTGCTATTGAAAATGTGAATGGTACAACCACTTTGGAAGACAGTGTGGCAGTTCCTCAGATTGTTGAAGTGCAGAGTAACCATTTGACCCAGGAGTTCTACTCCTAGGTGTTAATCCAAGAGAAATGAAAATGTGTGTTCACATAAATACTTGAATGAGAGTATTCCCAGCCAGCTGCATTATTGATAATAGCTAACAGATGGGAACAACCGAAACAGCTGCCCACTGATGTGTGGGTGGGTGCAGTGTAGTGTATCCACACACCGAAATGCCATTTGGTAATATGACGAACTGACACATGTTGCAACATGGATGAACCTTGAACACACGCTAAATGAAAGATCACATACTGGATGATTCCACTTTGTGTGAAATGTCCAGAACAGACCAACCCTTGAAGACAGAAAAGTAGATTAGTGTTTGCCTAGGGCTGGGTGAAGATGGACAGGGATGGAAAGAAACTGCGAGTGGGTTGGGCTTTCTTTCTGGGGTGATGAAAATGTTCTAGGTTTATATTGTGGTTGGCATTTGCACAACTCTGAATATACTAAAAAATGATTGAATTACATACTTTAAACTCATTTCGTATGTCAATAGAGATGGTTACTATCTAAAATAACCAGGTTGGCAGGCCCATCGATCGCCAGTTCACTTTGTATATCAGGCTGAAGAAATCATCTCCATAAAGTTTGACACAGCATGTTTTATGAATTTTTAAACTCATACCTGTAGTATGTAGCCCTATCTATAAATGAGAGGTGCATGAGTGAATATGAATTATCTACTGTATTTTCCCCTAGTCTCTTACTCTGTGATTTTGTCCTGTTTTCCCATGGTTGTGAAGATTCCAACCTTATTTATGGTGTTAAACTGGTTTATGTATTAGTAATAATAATTTGTTCATCGCTAATGAGATTTATTTTGTCAGAAAGGATTTTTTATTTGCTTATTGTAATCTGTGGTTGTGATACTAAAGAAGAAATAGTGATGACTTTTAGAATGTCAGATCTGAAGCACTCTACTATCAAAATAATGCTGATAGTAACTCTTAAACATCAGATATCAGTGTAGACAGTGGTATGGTAGTTACAGCAGCTGGATCCCAAACAGCTAACATTGCAGTTTGAGTCCTGAAGCTGGCGGCTTGAAAAAGTTGTTTGTGTGCGCATGCCCAAAATTCTGAAAGGAAGGAGAAAGAATTGTGGCGTGACCATTCTCCGTGGGGGTTGCTTTCTGACTCACATTCTTCCTTGTGTGTGTCTCTTGCTAGCCAGAGCATGCGTCCTTTGGCAAATTCCTCCCCCACCCCCCACAAAGAATAAATTCAGATATCCTAGCAAACCAAAAAGCGTTTGGAGCCTGAGGTGGTGGGTAGAAATGATGGACCAGTGTGGGAGAAGGCTGCTGGCCACACCTGAGCTGTGTTTTCTTTGGGCTAAGATGCTGACTGACAGTCGAGACACATGCTCGGCTACTCTCTGTGGTTCCTAAGGTCAAGCCAGTTGCCGTCCCGTCTATATGGGAATGAGAAGATAACTCATTCAATTTTGTTTTTATCCCCAAAATGTTTCTCATCATGGAACTAATGGAGTTATTTTTTGTTTTTGTTTATTTTAGAAAGACTTTTGCTATAGGGTGCATACACTTGCCAGAGAGACAGGGGGAAATTGAGAAATCACCCTCCAGAGAGGTTGGACACACCGCAACCCCTTCCAATCCTGGACTTGAACCGCAGTCGGCCTCATGGGAGTCCAGCACTTTAACCACTATACCACCTGCTGGCCCTATTTTGTTTTTAATAAAAGTTTGGGCACTACCCAAAGGTCGAAAGGTCCTTCCAGCACATGCCTGTGTTGTCAGTATTTAGAGGTATATTCTCCGATAGATATATTGGGAATCTTCACAGCGTTCTGTTCTGTGAACGTGTCATTCCCTCCTGTTTGGCACTCAGGCCGTGGCTAGGCTTTTTACAGTGTAGATGAAGCTGCAGGGCACACCTCTGTTGCAGCTTTCTTTGTACTTGGTGAGTCCCTTGACATAAATTCTTAAAAGTTTTTTTTATTTTTTTGTTTTTTAAAGAGAGATTTTTGCTATAGGGCGTGTGTGCTCACCAGAGAGACAGAAAGTGAGAAATCACCCCCCGCCAGTGGGGGGAGCCCCATGCCACAATCCCTATTTCTCCATTCTCCTCTTGGGATCTTGGGCATGCAGGCACACATGCCCAGTGTGAGTTTGAACCCACCAGGTCTGGGACTCAAATCGCGGTCGACTGGGTGGGAGTCCAGCAACACAACCATTACGCCATCTGCTGGTCCCTAAATTCTTAGAAGTCTTAATCACATGCGACTTTCTTCTTTTCCCAGGGTCCCAGTCCTGATGCTCGCCCCAAGAGCACAGGTGTCTTCCAGGATGAAGAGCTCCTTTTCAGCCACAAGCTTCAAAAGGACAATGACCCAGATGTTGACCTTTTTGCCGGTACCAAAAGATCCAGGGTCAGTGCCAGATGGTTCCCACTCACGGCTTTGTTACCGTCTGGAGTGCCACAGCCGCTCCTCTAGCGCTCTTGCAGATTGCTTTCCTCTGGGACACTGAATCTGAGTGTTATCTGTTCCAGCTGTTAGAGCCCAGCCTTGGGAGCCTGTTTGGGGATGACGAAGATGATGATCTTTTCAGCTCTGCCAAGTCCCAGCCTTTGGTATGAGCCTTTTGTTCTCAGTACTGGGGTGTGTGGTTGGAAGCTTCTGGGAAAGGAAAGTAATGTCCCGTTATGCAGCTCAGGAAAACCCAGAACGGATTACGGTGCTGACTCGTAAACGAGCATCTGGGCAGCTTTGCATGCCGGCTGAGGCTCAGACTGTGGTGTCCCTGTCCGTGTCCCCAGCATTTGAACTGTTGCTGGCCCAGGCTTTCTGACCATATTACAAATCTTTTTGTTTTTTTAATGGTTTATTGAAAGACCAGCGTGTACGACAGGATGACTACTAGCGCATTTGAGGTGCACTAGTAAATCTGAGCCTCAGCCTGTCCCTGCTCTTTTCTACCTGCGCAGTGGTCTCATAAGAACGCTCTGTATTCCTTTTCTTTTTTATTTATTTATTTATTTTTAAGGTTTTTGTCATACGGTATGTACACTTACCAGAAACAGAGAGGGAAAGTAGGAAATCATCCTCTACAGGCAATGGCCACGCTGCAGTCCCTTCTCCATTCTCTTCTCAGGATTTCGGGCATGCACGCATGCACACTTGTCTGGTGTGATTTTCAAGCCATGGGGTCTAGGACTTGAACCTCAGCTGACTGTATGGGATTTCAGTGCCTTAACCACAGTGCCACCTTCTTCTGGCTCCTCTCCCTTTTCTCTTTATCACAGAGAAGATTCTTAGAAAAAAATCATAGTCTCTGGAGTGCCATTTCTTTTTCTTTTTTTTTTTAAGAGAAATTTTTGCTAGAGAGCATTTGTGCTTACCAGAGAAGCAGAGTCAGAGAGAGAGACAGAAATAGAAATTATCCCCCAGGAGAGATGAGCACACTGCAGTCCCTTCTCCTTCATTCGCCTCTCAGGATTTTGGGCACACGTGCACACTCACTTGGCATGAGTTTCAAGCTGCTGGGTCCAGGACTTGAACCATGTTGGGCCATGTGGGAGCCCAGTGATGTAACCAGTATACCATCTGCTGGTCTCTAGAGCTGTATTTCTGAAGTGCCAGTTTTGAGTTAGTTCAACCCTCATTGGAGAAAGGACTTTTAAAACTCAGAAACCAGGTTCCTTTTGCACTCTTACGGTTTTTCTTCAAAATTTCTAAGACATTGACAGAATTTTGGTATTTGTTTTCTTTTGAAGGTACCAGAAAAAAAGAAGGTAGTAAAAAAAGACCACTCTGTTTCTTCTAAGAACCAGAAACATCCTGAATCCACTCAAAGTAGCAAAGAAAAAGGCATCTGGAAACCAGAGACACCTCAGGTTAGAACTGATCTCTTTAAGGATTGTCAGCTCTTGTTTGCACCCAGTATAAATTCCATGATGCAGACCCAGAGTTATTCAGAGTTTTCTAGACCAGGGAGGACATGCTCGGAGTACCACTCTCTCTATACCGTATTTTATTTTTCTTTGCCAGTGGGCATGTGTGCTCCCCAAGTGTTCGGGAGCACCTCTCAGCAGGACGTGGTCACACCTCAGTCCTTTTGTTCTCCATGCCTCCATCCTGTCAGGACTTGGGGGGCACACACGCACATATGCACAGTGTCTTTCTCAAGCCACTGGGGCAGGGATCAAACTGTGGTGGGCTGTGTGGGAATCTGGCTTTCTGTGCACAGCACTTAACCACTGTGCTGTGGGGCCAGCCCAGCTGCTGTCTCTTTGTTTAAATAATTATATAATTTTATTTATTATTATTTAAAAATTTGCTATAGAGCATGTGCATTCACCAGACACAAACACACACACGTACACTCTCTCACACAGAGGAAAAGGCCAGCCAGCAAGTCACAGGTCAGGGACTCAAACTGCTGTCAGCCATGTGGGGATCCAGCGCATCGACCACACCACCTGCTGGCACTGCTGATTTTTTTTTTAAGTTGTAATTCCTACATTACTTTACTCTTCAGAGTCTTATGAATCTATATTTAATCACTATTACTTTTGGATTTGAAGTATTTTTGATTCCAAGGTGGAGTTAAGGGTAAGAATCTTCTTCCCACTGCAGCCCCTATTTCTCCTTCTGCGTTCCTTTGGCATAGAATTGAACGAGAGTTAAATATATCCCTCAGTGTTACTTCTTCCGAGATTATTACTGGTGGTCCTTGCTCCTCAGCTGTCCTTGCAGAACCCTCTGGAGCTCCTCTGGAAGGCTGGAGCAAGTGCTGGTCCTGACTGGTGGTTGTTCTTAAGTGTCCCACCAAGGCCGTAGGGTCTTGAATTTTGAAAATGGGGTACTTGGGCTAGCACATCTGCACAGTCTCTTCCCAGGACTCAGAGGTCTTGTTTTCAGACCCAGGGCACTAGGCTGTGAGGACATTTCTGTGTAGTTCTTGACACTTGCTGTGTTGGCCAACGTGCATGGCCATCGTTCTGCCAAGTGCGTGGGTTTGGGCACTCCTACCGAAGTGCTAAGGTTTGAGCACTCTGACAAACTGCAGCACATGTAAGTTTCATTCATCATCCATGCCTCCTTCATGCCTGCTGTGATCTCAGTAGCCTTCCTGACTGACAGGAGGCGGCACAAGGAAGGTAATGTTAGGGAAACACTTGAGCCCCAGGACAGACCACATGCCTTTCCCATCACAGTGGCTTTGCCCCATCACAGATCTGTTTGTGGGCATGAGTGTAAGTGCAAAAGACACTTTTCTTGCTATTTCCCTAATGGATTTTTAACTGAATATAATTTCACACAGGACTCGCCAGGTCTTGCTCCATTTAAAACCAAAGAGCCATCCACTCGGATCGGGAAAATACAAGTAATTATCAGATGTGACTCTTCATTGCCTGCCTCGTGGCATCTTTAAACTTCTTTGGGTTTTCCTTTATTGGCAGCTGCCGAGCTTTTTCTCATCCCCTGCCCTCCCCGCTGCACCTTGCCTGGTCGTTGCTTCTTGTGTGCTGCATCTTCTTCAGCATCTCTGAGTCCAGTGGTGGGCCCAGGTGTGTCGCCCCCTGTTCTAACTCTGACACTAGATCGGGTGGCTTTTCCACATTTCTCTACTCTTGTGTTACACGTTACGTACACTGAGTCTCGTCATGTGCAACAGCAAAGACAACAGACGGCCATCTTTCAGAACAAACACTGTTTTATTTTCCTTCTGTAGGCAAATATAGCAATTAACCCAGCAGCTTTGCTGCCTGCAGCGGCTCCCCAGATCTCTGGAGTGAAGTCCATTTGGCCGGAGTTGGCTTTTCCTTCATCTGAACCTGCAAGGAGCCACGGTCCAGAAAGTTCACCCTCCCTTCCTGAGAGCGGGGAGGCTGGTGTGAGTTTTGATCATCCAGCTCAGGTGGACACTCTGCACAGCGCAAACAAGGTGATGAAGCCCTTTGCCTGCCTCTGATTCTCACAGCTGCTCACGTGCTACTTCCTGGTTGGTCATGGACTTGGAGAACTAGGAGCTAGTTATTAACTCTTTAGAAATCGTTAATAACCTCTTCCGTGTCTTAGGTAATATATTGGTTGAAGTAGACCAGATAATCATATAGTATTAGGAGTTGCTGGTTCTTTGCTACGTTAGTTTGTTTTTGTTTTAGTTTTTCCTCTAAGGTGTGTACACTTGCTGGGGTGGGAGGAAGAGTAACTGAGAAATCACTCCCTTGAGGGATGGCCATGCTATAGTCCTTTCTCCTCTATTCTGCTCTTAAGCAAACGCACCCAGCATGATTCTCAAGCCTCTGGGCTTGAGCCTCGAACCACAGAGTTGGCCGTGTGAGATCCGGCACCTTCACCTCTATGCTACCTGCTGGCCCATTGTGAACACATAGTGGTCTGGCTCTGACTCCTCATTTGAAGGAAGCAGCTCATCTTTCCTCTGGCCTCTTCCCTCCTAATTCTCACCATCCCCCTGGTTCTACATCTGCGTAGCCCTTGCCTGTGTTGGCAATATTTGCATTCTGCTCAGTGGCTACAGGTCCCACTACCCAGCTGGTGTCTGCACTTCCAGCACTCCTGCATTGTCTCCAGGAGTCTTCTAACCACAGAGCAGGTCATGCCCCTCCTGCTGATTCCTCACTGCCCAGAGGAGTCGAGTTCCTAGGTTTGGTTTGAAAACTTTGGAGGGACAGTGCCCAACCCATGTTTCCAGCTCTCCCTCTGGTGCCCTGAACTAGCAGCTGAGCCTCAGCCACATCAGGCACACACATGCTCTGTCCTGCCACTGTCACCTTCGACTCACACTGCTTCCAAACTGGGAATGCCCTTCCCACCTGTGGCTCTGCTCAGACACCCCCACTCTGATGTGTCCCTCGTGCTGCTGTGCCCAGGCTCCTCCTCCGAGATCCCGCTGTAGCTTCTCCCCCGCTGGCACCGCCCATCTGTTTCATAGCAGCACCATGGAACCGCTTGCTCTTTGAGGTTTTCCTTTCATTCCATGTGGTTTTCTATCCAGTCTCCCTTCTCTAGAAAGTCTTGGAAGCTGTTCTTCAAGTACATGATAGGATTTAGGATGACCTAACCCTGGTGAATACATTCCTTTCAGGTATTTCCAAACCTGTTTTCCCTAAGCAAAATAAAAATCCTTTATTTTAGAATTTTGGTTCAGTTTAAATTGGCTACATGCTAAAATTATGAAATTTCTTAAAGTCCTTTGTCTAAAGTAGGTTAACCTTCTCAAAATTCTATACTTGATGTATATTTTGGAAAATAATTACAAATACTGCATCATTGCTATTAAAAACTCATTTTGAGGTTATTTCAAAGGTTCTGATTTCTTTCTTTTTTTTTTTAAGAGAAATTTTTGCTGTGGGGTGTGTGCGCTCACCAGAGAGACATATCCCACTGGGAGACGAGCTCTAGAGTCAGGATGGCCATAAGGCAGTTCTTTCTCCTCCACACACCCAGCGTGAGTTTTAAGCCACTGGGTCTGGAACTCAAATGGTAGTCAACCACATGGGAGTCCAGTAACATAATCACTAATGCCATGCGCTGGTCCTTCTTCTATGTTTTTTTTCTTTGAAGTATTTGTTGTTGGAGTTTTGAGTTTGTTGACTTGAAAAGAGTACTTTAGACTCCCTCTTTCTGTACTATCTTATATCTGCTTCAGCAGCTTGAATTTAGACATGTTCCCTAATAATTAATCCCAGAAGTCCTGTGATTCATTCTTGTTTTGAAAGATACCCACCTTGAAATCGAGGGCGGGTATGGGCCAGGCAGAGCTGTGGGACCAGAGCACCAGCTTTGCCACTTTCTGGATTTCCAGCAACAGCTGTAGCTTTTTGTATGAAACCGAATTGGAACTTACCTCAGAAGACTGAAAAATGGGGAATTCTAAAGGATTGAGAATGAGTTAGTCTCAGGTACTAGAAGCTCTTAAACGTCTTCTTTGGAAATCTTGGAGGGAGAACCTTTTCTGTGTTTTGAGAACTTCTTGGTTGAAGTAGACCAAATCCCCTTACAATATTCTGAGCTGCCAGTCTTTCACTCTGTTAGCCTTAAACACTACCATCGGGTCAGTGTGGGATTTTTTTGCCGTTGCAGAGCCGTGTCAAAGTGAGAGGGAAGCGCAGACCACAGACCCGTGCAGCTAGGCGGTTGGCTGCCCAGGAGTCCAGCGAGACTGAGGACATGAGTGTGCCCAGAGGACCTGTCACAGAATTGGCAGATGGGGCCATTTCACCAGATGGTCTTCAGCCCCAGCACCGAGTAGCCAGTGGAGAAGACAGTGGGGCCCCTGCCACTCTACCTTGGGAAGGCGACCCTGTGCCTGGAGGGGACAGAAGCCCCTTTGTAAAATCTCTGGGTCAGCCTGGAGGTGACGCTGACCTTTTTGATTCTGGGGACATCTTTTCCAAGGGCACTAGGTCTCAGTCTACAGAGAGGACAAAAGCCAAGGCGAAGGCCGTGGATTCCCTGGCCCACCCAACAGGGGGCAGGAAAGGAAAGAGCCCCGGGTTTCCCGCTCTCAGTGAGGCAGGGAGTGATGACGACCTGTTTCAGCCCGTTAAACCAAACCCTGCAAAGAAAGCAAATCCATTTCCTCTCCTGGAAGATGAGGATGATCTCTTTATAGAGCAGAAAGGCAAGAAGAAGGAGTCAAAACCCAGCAGTCAGCGGGAAGCCATGTCACAAACGCAAGATCTCTTTGAGGTAACAGGACATGCCATGTTTTTGTGGTTGGTCCTATGTTAGGAAAACTCTGATTGGCTTGCCTGAGCCATAGGCCATGTTCAGCTAGTTTTGAGCATGCCTGATAATTGCTTGCTTAATAATTGTAACCGGTTTTTTTTATTAATAACTCTGAAGTCTATTTAAAGTGATTTGCTTCATGTAGGAGGCAGTTTTTGACTGGCCATAATCCTTGAGTCAGGTTTTGATTTTTTATAGTTTTATTTGTTTGTTTTTACAGAATGCCACTGCAATGAGATTCCATAGCTTATTACTCCGTGACGTATATAAAAAGCTCTGTCAGTTCAGCTGGGATGTTTGACCTTTGGTTCTGGGAAATTGACCTTAGCTGAGCTGACCGTTCCATGCAGGCACCAACCCCCATGGCAGTTGCTCAGAGGGTGTTCATCCAGTACCATGGGCAGAAAGCAGACTGGAACAGAGCGTGGGTCCCCAGAACTCTCAGGGAGGGAATCAGATATAACAAGGCAGCAGATAACTAAGATGCGTTCAAATAGCATGAAGCACCATGATGAAAGTAACCAAGGGCAGTATGGCGGTGCTCCTTTAGTAGGACTAGTAGGGAAGGCCATGCTGCAGAGTTGGCATTGAACTGGGACTGGGAGATTGGCAAGGACCAGACGTGCAGAGGTCTGGGGTCGTGAATTCCCAGCAGGCGAGCAGGCGCTGTTCCTCAGCATCCTGGCAGTCTGCAGCTTCTCACTTTGTGGGAATATTTTTCTAGTTAGAAACAAAAAAGGATTTAAAATAGTTTTTTTTTTCTTGATAAGGATGATATATTTGCAACAGAAGCAATTAAACCCTCACTAAAAACAAGAGAGAAGGAGAGAACATTGGAATCAAACATATTTGATGATAACATTGATATCTTTGCTGACCTAACTGTAAAACCAAAAGAAAAGCCCAAAAAGAAAGTGGGAGCTAAGTCTATTTTCGATGACGATATGGGTAAGTTCGGTTTTCTACATTTGACTTACAGAATCGTTACTGTTGGTTAACTTGATTTTTCTCCTGCCACTTTCATCTTGTCCCTTTTTTGGGAGACATTCTCTGAAGGAATAACTTCAGCTTGCTGTATAATCCTGGGTTAGGATAAGGGTAGATAATGACTAAGTGGACTAGTCATTTTAGTGAGATAACTTTTTTGGGTATAACTTATACCAAGGAATTAGAAGCTACCTCCCTAATTTTTCTTTTTCTTTTTTTTCTTGAGGGTTCATGCACTTGCCAGAGAGAGATAAACACAGAGGGACAGGAGAAAGCACCCCCCCCCCAAAGGGAAAGGTCGCACCACAGCCTCTTTTCTGTCTCCCCTCTTAGGGTTTTGGGCATGCATGCTCAGATGCCCAGCATGTCTCTCAAGCTGCCAGGTCTGGGACTTGCACTGCACAGTTGGCCATGTGGGATCCAGCTGCCTTAACCACTAGGCAACAGAGTGTGGCCTGACTTTTTGTTTCTTAAGTTTATTTTCTTCTATGAATAATAGAAAGAGCTCCCCCAACAGAGTATTGACCTGTGACCCACCCCCTGTCCCAGCTATTTCTGGATCGTGGGCATGTTGAGCGTCTGATGTACTCAGATGTGAACTTGGAACTTTCCATGTGAGTCAGTGTTGCAGAGTATTGTATTTTACTATTGCACCACTGTCTAGCCCCAAGGTACCCAGAGGCCAACTCTTAAGTATAATTTAACTTTTATCTTAGTGTACCTCTGCCAACCATCTGTAACAAACTCTGATGTTATGAAAGATCAATCAGAAATACCCATGCGCAAAAGTAAGCCTTGAATGTGTTGCAGTTGATTGAGTCAGAGTTCCAGCTGGAGAGTGATTGTCAGTGGGGAGAATTCAGGGGCAGAGCAGGAGGGCAAGACCATACAGGGAAGTAGGTTGTACCCCAGACTTGCCTGTCAGCTGAGACCTCCAGTGTTGGTGAATGTGCTTGTCTTCCTCCCAAGGTACAGCTTCTTTGTTGATGGGCAAGCTAAATGCCTGATAGCCATCAGCGTTGGGCCTCTGGTATATCCTGTGTTGGTCTTCCAAGAGAGGACCTAGGCTGAGTCCAGGCACGCACTTCCTGCTCCTTCCCTTCTCTTTATCTCAAGCATAGACCTTGAAGCCAACTGGGTGATGGGGTTGCAGAGTTCCACTGGGTCTGTTGCCAGACAGCTGTGTGTTCTGTATCCTCTAGCTGCCCACCATGTGGAGACTTCATTTGTTTATTTTATTATTAAAAAATGCAAAGTCTGCTTATTGAATATGTTATTCTGATTTAGGAAATGTAAAAACAAAAAACAATCCCTAGGAATAATCAGTGTAAATAGTTGAGTATGTGTCTTTTCAAATATGGTCATGTTGATGTACGTCTGTATGCATAGAAATATATGTTAATTTTTTTTTCAAAAATAAGAATATACTTTATCTGTTCTAGGGTTCTTTTAATCAATTGATGCCTTTCTATATTAGTACATGGAGAACTACTTCTTGTTTTAGTGATTATGTAGAATTCGTTTGTATTTAGCCATTAGCCTATTGACAGTGATCAAGATTTTTTTCTACATTTTCTCTGATACAAATAATGCCGTGGTCTTTAACATCTGCATACACCTGTCATTAGTTCACATGCTAAAATCTCAGTAGGATAGAATCTTAATGGTAACACTACTGGTAAGTAACATGACCAAATAAGACAAGCTCTAGGGTCAGTGAAATACTCAACACGAAGTAGCCATAAAGACTTACATATTCTTGGGACCAGCAGTTAATGTAATGGCTATGTCGCTGGACTCCCATGGAATCGACCACGGTTCAAATCCCAGACCTGGTGGCTTAAACTTACGCCGGGCGTGTGTGCGTGCATGCCCAAGATCCCAAGAGGAGAATGGAGGAGAAGGGATTAGGGCATGGCCATCCCTCCTGGGGTGTTTTCTTGCTTTCTGTCTCTGTCTATCTGGCAAGTGCACGTGCCCTATAGCAAAAAAATCTCTCCAAAAAAAAAAAAAGATTTAATATTCTTAGCATTGAGATACCTCAGATCAATGCGTTTATTCTGAAAAAGAGTGAATCATGTCCTGGGTTGTCCTTTGCACATTGTTGCCCTTTCCCTATAAAATTCAGTGTGAGAAATGGAAGGTCCAGTGTCACAGATAGTAAGGTCATGGCCTGTCAGTTGCCTTTTTTCCTTTTTCCTCTCCTTCATGCACACACATGCGCACGCACACACACACATACCTGCAGCTGAGGAAATTGTGTTCAAAAAGTACCTGTGACCTGTATGTGATCATGAAACTTCCATTAGTAACTGAGCCAGGACCAGAATCTTAGAGACTGGTTTCTGTTAGTTTTTTTGGGTTCCCTTTACTTTGAGCCAAATTGGGGTTTTTGGTGTTTGTGTGGAACTGTTTAAAGCACCATTTCCTTGCCTGTTCAGCAATTCTCTTTCTCTTTTTCTTTTTAAAGATGATATCTTCTCCTCTGGTATCCAGGCTAAGACAACCAAACCAAAAAGCCGATCTGCACAGGCAGCAGAACCAAGATCTGAACACAAAGTGTCCAACATATTTGACGATCCCCTGAACGCCTTTGGAGGCCAGTAGAGCATGCAGGGTACCCCATCTCACCCTTCAGCTATGTCCTTGAGCTAGTGATGTTGTCTTTTATGCTCCTCGTCCTAACTGGTTTACAAAAAGCAAATACTGAAACAAGCTCATCTTTTTACCCACTGTACTTAGTATTTTCTGCACAATCATGCTTAATACTGTAAAACAAAATAAATGTTTCACAATGGTTGGTTGGTTGGTTGTTTTGTAATTAGGCTTGGTAGGGTCACATTATAGTTTAGGCCCCATGAGGGCAGAGCGGAA